GGGCACCCACGGTCGCAGTGCCAAGCTGGCACTCCTTCTCCCCGTTACTGCCTACTCAAAGAGTTTTAAAGGAAATTTCTACTGCATCCCACCCTGAAGGACAAATAACAATTAGAAAATATATAATCCAAAGAGGTTAAAAATGTTCAGAAGCGTCATGTTGCCTGATGGTTGCCCCGCAAATCAAACATGCCCCCTCCTTTTGGCCCCACAGAGCAGCCATCCAATACCCCGACTGTCATCTTTGCGAGGGCATGAGGCTCATCAGATCTGCCGCTCTCCATGGTTCACATGGTTTGACATAAAGACTTCGCACGATATGACAGTGACTTGATCCAAGCTGACATTGCCAGGGATAAATTAATGGAAGAGTTCCTCGCAGGGTGGAGAGAAAAAATGAGAAAGAAGGATTTTGGTGGACTTCCAAGGAAGCTGGATGTTGGAAGATGCAGGGCAGATAAAAGGAAGGACGTCCGCAAAGTTAAACTCGCTCCCCCAGGAGGCAGTGATGGCCCCACAACTAAGATGAATTTAAAAGAGGGTTATTGGACAAATTTGTGGAGGAGAGGGCTATCGATGGCTACTTGCTGTGATAGCTGTGCTCTGGCAGTAATGCTTCAGAATACCTGTTGCTGGAGACCACAGGAGGGGATTGTTGCCCTTGCGCTCGGATCCTGTTTGCAGGTTTTCCACAGGCATCTGGTTGGCCACTGTGAGAACAGGATTCTGGATTAGACAGGCTAGTGCCCTGATCCAGCAAGCTATTCGTACAGCCTTCTTTTCTTTTTCTTTCTCACTAAATCGGCAGCTGAGGTGCCAAGATTAAGGTCCAAATTGTCCAGGGGCCCTGCAGCTCATATACAGAATTGTGCGCAACATCACCGACACTTCGTTTGATCCAACTTATCCTCGTTGGTATTTAATCCTTGAGCGGTAACATCACCAACACTCCATTTGAACCAACTTACCAACTTTTAGCCTGGCTAAAGGAACATTTAAAGACCGTATCTTCCTTTTGGACACCATTTGAATGAGTTTTCTGTTTGTGGCTTCTGTAGTAGATCTTGCACATAGCTCTCTCAATTTTTGGATTATTAATATAAGATTTAGAACATAGAATGGTTTTTTTAGTGTTTTGTGTGCCGCTTATGTGCTGCTTGCTTTATACTGGTCCATAGCTGTCAACCTTCCCTTTTTTTGCGGGAAATTCCCTTATTCCAGCACCGTTTCCTGCTGCTTCCCACAGCTATCCCGGATTGTTAGATATCCCATAGACTGTCCCCAGGACACGTGAGTCTGTTGATCCCTTATTTTCAAGGCTGCTGATCCCTTATTTTCAAATCTGAAAGTTGACAGCTATGTACTGGTCGTATACAGAATCCGGCATTGTCGTGGGCAGTTGCACAGGTCCTTCTGGCACTCCCAGCTTTCCGCAACCCAAATGGCTTTCGGAAGCTGTGCTCCAGGCCTCCCAGGTCCAGAAACTTGCTTCTTTCCTTCGGGCGAAGGCGATGCGGCTTGTGAACAGCGTGCAAATATCCAGACCCGGTTTCCTGGAGCAAGTCGTCGCCGGCTCAGGTCCTCACCCAACGGCTCATCAGCCAGACCGCAGATCAATGTTAAGTAATGTTACTTACACACAATCATACCCCCCCCTTTTCTCCTCTTCCATCCTTTTGTCCTTCGAAGAGCAAACCGCTCAGCAGAAAGCACTACCCATGGCAGGCTGCTTAATCGCCTTCCAGATTAATTTGGCGGGTAGATGGAGGGAAGCTCGTTCCATCTATATAAACGAAGCAATAATTACCCCCGATCTCTGGAGGATATGAATCCCTCGGGGGTGCCATCGCTCTCCCTGATGGAGGTCTCCAGGGGGTGATATATCTCTGAAATGCAGTGTTTTCCTGCCGGGGACAATCCGTCTCCCATCTTTTGGGGGTAGTAATAGCACTACAGTGGTTTAATATCTCTCACCAGTCTAATATTTCTCCTTAAAACCTTTCTCCTTCGACTCGTCTTCTTTGCTCTTTTCCCTTCTCCCCCCGCCCAGCTGCCTCTCGATCATTTCCAGGAGAAACTGGCCTGGTCCAGCGCGCATCCTCGGTGCAGTGGTCAATGAGATGTCCCTCAGAAGCTTTTGAGCAGCGCACGGTTCCTTATTGAAGGGGAATGTGTGTCTAAACTTAGCCATCAAGGTTAATAGGCATTGGGAGACCTCGGCACCTCTATGAATAGGCCTAATCTAGGCTTGTTGCCACAGCCGCATCTTGCAGCGACGAATTCCCTGAATTAATGGCGCATGAAATAAAAGAAGTGTTTTCCTTTTTATTTGCCCTATCAGCTATCAGCTTCACGGCACGGCTGGAAGGTGTCGCCAAGATGCCGAGCCGGCGGAAGGTGCAGGGAGCAGGATGAGACCGGGGACTGAGGTCAATGGGGAAGTCCTGCAAGGCTAAGAAAGAGGGAAGAAGGCAAGCAGAGAGAGCCAGAAGGAGCAGGCTCAGGCAGAATGGATGGCTGCTCAGCCAAGTCTGACCAAGAAGAAGTTATTGGAAACAGCACCTTTAGGGGCCCAGAGCAGCTGGGGAGGTGACTTTGGAGGGGGGGGGAGAATCATGCAGGGCAGAAAGGCTTTCACACACCCCTCCACACAGCCCTGATCCAGACCAGATGGTCCAAGCAGCCACTTTTTCCGGTGGTGTGGAGGAATTGAACAGCTCCAAGCATGCTTTTTTAAAAGGTATTTTTAAAATGTACTTGTTCTTTCCGTTGCCTTTTTCTGGACCTGCTTTGGGTTATCAGATCTTGCAGTTTGGGTGAATTAGATTGGAATGATTGCTTACAGTTTCTGGAGTTCAAAGGCTTTATTCATGCAGGAACTATTTGCCAGAATGAGTGGAGATGAGAAAAAGAAAATAGCAGACATCTTCTCCAGAGAGAACAGCAAACATAATGGCTCCTGTTTTAGGGTTGGAACTAGCTTAGATAGAGAGGTTACAAGCAAGAGCTGGCTAGATTACTAGACAAAATCATGCCCTCTGGTGGTTTAAATTAACACATGAATTAACTACAAAGTCAAGAGAAGGAAATGTATTTGCTTTTTTCTAGCACTTTGGCCATGCAGTCACCTAATTTAGCCGCTGTGAGGACAATCACACAACACAAACTGATATGTGTAGGATCATTTCATTACACAGCTTCTAAAAAGCACCTTCTATCTTACCTCTGCACTGGGCAGAAAATAAGTCAAGTAAGACAGAGATTTGGGTGGGTGGCGATAAGGTGGTGCTTTAGTGCTGTAGGAACTGCTTTGATGCTTCTGTGACGATGAGGCAAGCCTGTGGTGAAATCCTCTCAGCAGGTGTGCAGTTTCTGCCGCCACAGCCCTTCTGCAATTTGAAAAGCTGAACTTGTGAAAGCCATCCATCTCCCCAGCTATTTGAAATGTGAGACCTCATATTGAAAGCCTGGCAACCCCTGATATAATAGAACTTGACAGGAAACATCTGACTGTCCCACCCGGCACCCATCTGATGGACAGAAGGCGCCACCAGGTGGCGAAAGGTTGCACTGTGATGGGGGAGAAACGTAAGCTGTGCATTTAAAGTGCATTTGAAGCACATGGCTCTGCCCCAAAGGATCCTGGGAAGTGTAGTTTATTAAGAGTGCTGTCAACTGCAGCTCTAAGGGGTCACCTGGGATTCTTTAGGGGATGCCATGACTGTTATAAATGTGCTTTAATGTGTGGTGTGCACATGACCAAAATGAGATAAACCTGTCAGTATTAAGGGACTCGGGTGGCGCTGTGGGTTAAACCACAGAGCCTAGGACTTGCCGATCAGAAGGTTGGGGGTTCGAATCCCCGCGACGGGGTGAGCTCCCGTTGCTCGGTCCCTGCTCCTGCCAACCTAGCAGTTCGAAAGCACATCAAAATGCAAGTAGATAAATAGGTACCACTCCGGTGGGAAGGTATACAGCATTTCTGTGCGCTGTTCTGGTTCGCCAGAAGCGGCTTGGTCATGCTGGCCACATGATCCGGAAGCTGTACGCCGGCTCCCTTGGCCAATAAAGTGAGATGAACGCTGCAACCCCAGAGTCGGTCACGATTGGACCTAATGGTCAGGGGTCCCTTTACCGTTACCTTTATTTTGTGGGAGGCATTCGGTTGCATACCAAAAATTTAGGTATGTGCAATGGATTAAAGTTAAACAAGGGTCCGTATAGTTAAAGCCATGGTCTTCCCAGTAGTGATGTATGGAAGTGAGAGCTGGACCATCAAGAAGGCTGATCGCCGAAGAATTGATGCTTTTGAATTATGTTGCTGGAGAAGACTCTTGAGAGTCCCATGGACTGCAAGAAGATCAAATGCATCCATTCTTAAGGAAATCAGCCCTGAGTGCTCACTGGAAGGACAGATCCTGAAGCTGAGGCTCCAGTACTTTGGCCACCTCATGAGAAGAGAACACTCCCTGGAGAAGACACTGATGCTGGGAAAGATGGAGGGCACAAGGAGAAGGGGACGACAGAGGACGAGATGGTGGGACAGTGTTCTCGAAGCTACCAGCATGAGTTTGACCAAACTGTGGGAGGCAGTGGAAGACAGGAGTGCCTGGCGTGCTCTGGTCCAGGGGTCACGAAGAGGCGGACACGACTAAACGACTAAACAACAACAATGGATTAAAGTGCTCTGTTGCTTGAGCCAGTGTTTTTTTTTAATGCACTAAAAGTGTAAGCTGAATGACTGGTTAACAGGAAAACATATAACCTCCACACAAGCAAGTAAGGATGCAACCAAGACAAATGCTCATTGTTGTATAACCTCCCTGCGAGCAAATCAGAACAAATGCTCAACTGAAAATCAGGCATTGGGTAAGCTTTGTGCAAGCAAATCAGAATAAATGCTCAATGATCCTGGAGGAGGCCCAAGGGTAGCTAGCGGCCAGATGTCCCTCCCTAGAAGATCACAATTCAAGCATAAAGAACACAGGCTCAGCGCAATGCAAAATGAAAAGAAGAATTAGGTCCAATCGCTTTATTTCATTTTAATTCCTCTGCGGGGGAAAGCCGGTGACGCTGGTCATGGAGACAGTAGTTCAGCTACATTTCCCTATATTCCACATACACCCAGTATAGGGTGGTATCTCTAGGGTGAAATGGGGGGGGGGGGAGTGAGATTACAGGGCCTGCTATGAGTGGGGAGTTTACTGAAGGTCCAGCCCTCCAGGATTACCCTACCAATCAGCGGAAAAAGGCCAGGCGCTCTTTCAGCCATTGCTCCGTCAGGTCGTCTGTGGACCGAATCTCAAAGACCTGGGGGGAAACAGAGCAGCAGTCAGGTGGAGAAAGCGGTCTGCCTAGGCTGAGAATGTGGCCAAGCATCTTTCCCTGCCTTTCCCAGGTACCTAAGGAGCTGGCTGGAGCAGAGTAGGGACATAATTCTACCTTACACCCAGTCCGACCTTTGGTCTAACTCAGTAATGTCAATGCTGAGTAACAGCCGCTTTTCCGGGCTTCAGGCAGAGGTCTCCTGCCAGTCCTACTCAGAGAAGCTGGGAGCTGAACCTGGGGCTGTGATTTCTGCATTACGGGGGGGCTGGACTAGATGACCCTTGGGAGTCCCTTCTAGCTCTACAATTCTATGTTTCTATGCCTTCTGCATGCAGAGCAGGTGCCCTACTACTGGGCTAAGGTGAGGATTTTATTATTTAATATATTGCACATTTTGAAAGACGTGGCAGTCTCTCTTTCCTCAGCTTCAGGGGTTGGCCTAGATCAGGGGTCAGCAACCTTTTTCAGCCGCGGGCCGGTCCACCGTCCCTCAGACCATGTGGGGGGGGGGCGGACTATATTTTGGAAAAAAAATATGAACGAATTCCTATGCCCCACAAATAACCCAGAGATTCATTGGGAGTGGCCACCGGGACCACATAACATCGGTCCTGAAAGACCTACATTGGCTCCCACTACGTTTCTGAGCACAATTCAAAGTGTTGGTGCTGACACTTTGGTGCTTTAAATGGCCTCAAAGGCCCAGTATACCTGAAGGAGCGTCTCCACCCCCATTGTTCAGCCGGACACTGAGGTCTAGTGCCGAGGGCCTTCTGGCAGTTCCCTCCCTGTGAGAAGTGAGGTTACAGGGAACCAGGCAGAGGGCCTTCTTGGTAGCGGCACCCACCCTGTGGAACGCCCTCCCATCAGATGTCAAGGAAATAAGCAGCTATCTTCTTTTTAAAAGACATCTGAAGGCAGCCCTCTTTAGGGAAGTTTTTAATATTTAATGCTGTATTGTTTTTAAGACTCGATTGGGAGCCGCCCAGAGTGGCTGGGGAAACTCAGCCAGATGGGCGGGGTATAAATAATATATTATTATTATTATTATTATTATTATTATTATTATTATTATTATTATTATTATCATGCGTTTTAAATAAAGTTACACATTCTATTCATGTCAAAACACCAGGCAGGCCCCACAAATAACCCAGAGATGCATTTTAAATGAAAGCACACATTCTACTCATGTAAAAACATGCTGATTCCCGGACCGTCCGTGGGCCGGATTGAGAAGGTGATTGGGCCGCACGTGGCCCCGGGGCCTGAGGTTCATAGGCGCCGACTCCATGGGGCTTGAGGGGGCCCGAGCCCCCTCAAAAATTCGTTTGGGGGGGCTCCGCCCCCCCAATAATCTCCAGCGCCCCTCCAGCAGAGCGCCATCGCCGCCCCTCCCCCAGCCCAAAATGCACAGGGTCGGGCTGCATGCCTCCTGCCCTCCCTCCCGAGCAAAAGCTCCACCTTCGGAGCTGATTAATAGGAGCAGCACGCTCTCCCCTATTCGCTCACGAGGAGGCGGCGCCACTTTATTTGCATATTCATGAGCTTATTTATTATTCATGAGCTTTCCCGGGCCCCCCCAATATTTTTTATAAGTCCGCGTCCCTGCTGAGGTTGCCTACCCCTGGTCTAGGAATCGAATCCCGGTTCTGGCACCCAAAACAAGAATCCCCCGCTGCCCAAGACCAAAAGCCACATATAGGCATGGGGAAAGGGGGAGCGGAAGATGTAAGCGAGAAAGCACAGTTGCCTCATCCTCTTCCACTTCTCCTGGGGGTTTAAGGTTGCATGCACGTTCTCCGGGTTGCGCCAGGCAACCAGGCTGCTCTCTAGAATCCCAAGAGGATGGGGAGGGGGTTGTTACTGGCAGGAAGAGAGGCCAAAAACAACGCCAAGACGATCAGGGACAAAACCATAGCTGTCAACTTACAGATTTGAAAATAAGGGACCAGCAGCCTCGAAAATAAGGGATCAGCAGCCAAAATAAGGGATCAACAACTACTTTGATAAAATACATATTTTGTTGCGTGCAAATGGCTTTAGAGACCTATTAGGTCCATAAATTACCATATAACATATATTCAACACAAAAAAAAGCAGCCATTTGTTGTTGACAAAGGTCAGCTGGACATAGAAAGGGCCACATTACCTTCAGTAGCTTATTTAAGGGACATCATCAATAAGGGACAGCAGCGGGACATGGCGCTGGGATAAGGGACTGTCCCGCCAAATAAGGGACGCTTGACAGCTATGGACAAAACCAGAGGTAAGAAGTGTGCCTGGAATACCTTGGTGAGCTCAGCTGCCTGCACCAGTCTGTTTTTGCTCCCGGCGTACATCATCTGCTGCTCCGGCTTGCACCCTGCGAGGGGAAAGGAAAAGGCAGCTCCTTTAGTTGCAATGACTGTTTATTATCTCATTCACAATGGGCGCTGTGATCCACAGCGGGTCAGGGAGTTAAGGACTGGCTGAGGTGGAGAGAGGTGGCCTTCCCCAAGGCCACAAAACAAGCTCCTGCTACGGCGACATCGGGACTTGAACCCAAGGCACGCAGGTGCTAAAGGGCACTGCCTTATCTCTCTGCAGCAGAAGTGGGATTTGTTGGGTTTTTCCACCGGTAGGGTGGGTGGGGGGAAAACCTAACAAATGACTGGCGTTCAATCATTCAAATGACTCCTTTTTATAGCATTTTGGAATGTTCAAAGACATTTGCCGCGATCACACCATACATTTGAGGCACCATTATACAACTTTAAACAGAGATGACGTCCCCCAGAGAATTTCTGAGAGCTGTAGGTTTTTTGGGGGGGTTTTTTGAGGGTGCTAAGAGGAGCCCCCTGTTGCCCTCCCAGGACTGCAATTCTGTTCCCTGCGAAGAGGGGTTAAGTATTAAACCGCTCTGGGAAGGGAATCGGGGTCTCCTAACAACTCTCCGTGCCGACGGTTTTGCAATATGGCATGATTTTATTTCAAAATGAAGAAGCCCATGGCCGTATGGTCCATCCTGTTTGTTCCAAGGTGTAGACTTTGCAAAAGTATGTTTAGATAGATGGGTGCTCTTTATCTTCGTATTTCTCTTGGACTACAACAAACTAGGAAGCAAGGGAATCTATGATCATAGAACCAGAGTTGGAAAGGACCATGAGCGTGATGTAGTCCAACCCCCTGCAATGCAGGAATCTTTTGCCCAATACGGAACTTGAACCCATGACTGAGTTATCCCTTCGTTCTATCATTCCTTTAATTTTTCATTTGGCAAACCTGTTCCCACTCACATGGGAAATATGGCCATTGCTTCATCTCCTCCTGCTGAACCTCATGTTACAGAGCTGTTCCGCCTGGCCTTTGGTTTGGACTCAGTCTGACCCTTATGTTTCCCTCCCCTTATGGTTTTGATCTATGGGCTACTTTTAAAATGAGGCTGCATTTTAAATTGCATTTAACCTGTATTTTAAATTGTTCCCCCCCCCCCATTATGTTTTTACTCAGATGGTTTTCCCAGTAGTGATGTATGGAAGTGAGACCTGGACCATAAAGAAGGCTGATCGCCGAAGAATGGGTGCTTTTGAATTCTGGTGCTGGAGGAGACTCTTGAGAGTCCCATGGACTGCAAGAAGATCAAACCTCTCCATTCTGAAGGAAATCAGCCCTGAGTGCTCACTGGAAGGACAGATCCTGAAGCTGAGGCTCCAAGACTTTGGCCACCTCATGAGAAGAGAAGACTCCCTGGAAAAGACCCTGATGTTGGGAAAGATGGATGGCGCAAGGAGAAGGGGACGACAGAGGACGAGATGGTGGGACAGTGTTCTCGAAGCAACCAACATGAGTCTGACCAAACTGCGGGAGGCAGTGGAAGACAGGAGTGCCTGGCGTGCTCTGGTCCAGGGGGCCACGAAGAGTCGGACACGACTAAACAACAACAACATGTTTTTACTGTAATTTTACTGGTGTTAGCCGCCCTGAGCCCGCCTCTGGCCAGGGAGGGCGGTGTATAAATAAAATTATTATTATTATTATTATTATTATTATTATTATTATTATTATTATTATGCTTTCCCCCCCAAGGTTTCCTATTCTTTCTGTGCAAGTTTCCCCTTTTTGTCCTTTCAAATTTTAATAACAACTTTTATTAAAAATGCATGATGTCAACACGGCCATTATCACAGTAATGCCAGTTATACAGTAATAGCTTCCCCCAACCCGGCCTCATCCAGAACCTTTGTGGTTACAACGCCCATCAGCTTGGCTGTTGTTATGGGGAGGCCCAGGGCCTGAAAACCTGGCCCTTTGGTGCTGCACCAACTCAGAATCGAACCCTACAGGCCTCCCTGCCACCGCCCTCAAAGCTTCACATTTGTTCTCGACATACACCAAGCTCAACTCTTTGGACAGGAAGCCGAGAATCCCACCCCTCAGTTGAGGAAGTCACCGGTTCTCACCGACTGGGCTGGAGAAGATGAAGCAGAGAGGGTATGAGACCCGGCCATCATCGTGGACGTATTTATAGCTGTAAACTACAAATGTAAACACACACAGGCACAGTCAAGGAAGCAACTGGGCATCTCATGGCAAGGTAGACATTGGGGGGTGGGAAGGAACTGGACCAGCTTGTCTCCAACTGGCAAAGGGGTGGAAGAAAGCTTCCGATGTGAGGACACCTTAGGCTCTGGAGCTCCCTGGATGCGGAAACCCACAAATCTCATGTCCCCCCCCCTTTTCTTTTTTCTCTCTCTTTCTCTCGTTTTCATCCAGTGCGTATCTACTGCACCGGCTCCCGGTGGAGTACCGGGTCAGGTTTAAGGTGCTGGTTTTGACCTTTAAAGCCCTATGCGGCCTAGGACCCACATACCTACGGGACTGCCTCTCCTGGTATGCCCCGCGGAGGAAGATCAGCGGTTTGAATCCCCGCGACAGGGTGAGCTCCTGTTGCTCGGTCCCAGCTCCTACCCACCTAGCAGTTTGAAAGCACGTCAAAGTGCAAATAGATAAGTAGGTACCGCTCCGGTGGGAAGGTAAACGGCGTTTCCATGCGCTGCTCTGGTTCGCCAGAAGCGGCTTAGTCATGCTGGCCACATGACTCAGAAGCTGTACTCGGCCGATAAAGCGAGATGAGTGCCGCAACCCCAGAGTCGGTCATGACTGGACCTAATGGTCAGGGGTCCCTTTACCTTTACCTTTTACCCATCCCATCCATCACAGAATCTTCTGGCAGAAAATTCTATAAACAAACTAGGCTTCCGCTCGCCTGTCCTGAAATCCATTGGAAACCCTTTCTCTGGCCACCTCCTCAAAACTATAGCTGAATATGGAAGTGTGTATGGGCCGAATCAGGTTGTCCCCTCCCCTCTCATAAACACACTCAAACAACACTTAGGATATCGAGGCTGGCGTTCTGGCAGTTCGCATCTCAGCTCCTCTGGAGAGATGTCCTAAAGAAGATCACAGAAACAGGCATCAGTTTTGTAGACAAGGGTCTTCCCAAGGGGAGTAGCTGCGTAGGAAGGAATGAGATCCCACCCTCACCCCCCGCACAACAAATCCATTTTTCAAAAACTGTGGCTGTTTGCAGTTTGGAAAGTGATGGGCAAATTGAATAGTGTAGGACAAGCGAGTGATTAACAGGAAGGGAAATAAACTCCCCACAAGCCTATCAGGTTGAATGTCAATCAGCCCAAGGCCTGGTTAAAGCAAGACATTTCAGCCTGGCGCCTAAAGATATGTAATGATGGTGCCAGGTGAGCCTCCACGAGGAGAACACTCCACAAGCAGGGAGCCACCGCAGAAAAGGCCCCTTCTCATTTTACCACCCTCCAGACCTGTTGTGGAGGCACATGAAGAAGGGCCTCAGATGATGATTGCAGGGTCCCAGGTTGGTTGACACATAAGGAAAGGCAGTTCTTGAAGTATTGCAGTCCTGAGTCGTTTAAGGCCGTATAGCAGGGGTTGGTAAGGTCTGCCTTGCCTGGGCCAGTTCACTCCAGCGGAGACCCCTCTGTGGGCCGGATTGCGTGCGTGTGTGTGAGCGTGCACGCCTGTGATTTCCAGTGTCTGCGCAGACACGATTTCCGGTGTCTGTGTCTGCGCAGACGCGATTTCTGGTGCTGCGGAAGCGAGTCCCCGCGCTGTGCTGCGCCAGTTTAGTGCAGCGTACGGGGACTCACTGAGCGGGCGGGTCAATTTCGGGGCGGCTTGTGGGCCAGTTAAACGGCCCCCGGGGGCTGCTTGTGACCCATGGGCCTTAGGTTGCCTACCCCTGCCTTATAGGTCAAAACCAACACTTTGAATTGGGCCCAGAAACTAATCAGCAGCCAATGCAGTCGGAGCCAGGATCGGTATGATATGCTCAGTCCATCTTGCCCCACTGAGCAACCAGGCTGCCAAATTCTGCACCAGCTGAAGTTTCTGAACTCTTCAGAAGCAGCCCCACGTATAATGCATTGCAGTAATTTAACCTAGAGCATAGACAACAGACTGGTCCCATCACCTCCTGGCAAATAGAAGGGGAAGAAATGGAGGCAGTGAGAGATTTTACTTCTTGGGCTCCGTGATCACTGCAGATGGTGACAGCAGCCACAATATTATAAGACGCCTGCTTCTTGGGAGAAAAGCAATGACAAACCTAGACAGCATCTTAAAAAACAGAGACATCATCTTGCCAACAAAGGTCCGTATAGTAAAAGCTATGGTTTTCCCAGTAGTGATGTATGGAAGTGAGAGCTGGACCATAAAGAAGGCTGATCGCCAAAGAATGGATGCCTTTGAATTCTGGTGCTGGAGGAGACTCTTGAGAGTCCCATGGACTGCAAGAAGATCAGACATATCCATTCTGAAGGAAATCAGCCCTGAGTGCTCACTGGAAGGACAGATCCTGAAGCTGAGGCTCCAAGACTTTGGCCACCTCATGAGAAGAGAAGACTCCCTGGAAAAGACCCTGATGTTGGGAAGGATGGGGGGCACAAGGAGAAGGGGACGACGGAGGACGAGATGGTTGGACAGTGTTCTCGAAGCTACCAGCATGAATTTGACCAAACTGTGGGAGGCAGTGGAAGACAGGAGTGCCTGGTGTGCTCTGGTCCAGGGGGTCACGAAGAGTCAGACACAACTAAACGACTAAACAACAACAACATAGACAACAGAAGTTGAGCATAGACAACAGATAAGGGTGCAGATGGGCCACCAGCTGAAGCTGATGGAAGGCATTCCACACCACTAAGGCCACCTGAGCCTCAAGTAACAGCAAGGGATCCAGAAGGACCCGCAAGCTACAGACCCACTCCATCAGAGGAGATCACTTTATGCTATATGTGCCCACTTGAGCTCATTGATCCATGCAGGAGTGCCAGCTTGGCCCCGGGACTGTGGGTGTGCCATGTAGCGTGCATGGCCCTGGCACCAAAATTTCTGGGTGCCCAGCCCCTTCAAGGGGAATTTGTGAGTGCTCGGGCACTCGGGGCCCCAGGGAGTTGGCACCTATGGATCCAAGGAACTGGCACTGTTACAAGTGTCACATAATACTCATTCTGCACTTCTAATACATTGATATTTTAGTGTGGCACCCACACTTTGGAACTCCCTGCCTGTCGTCACCAGGCAGGTGCCTTCACTGCCAAAACAGGTGCCAAAAAAATTAAACATTTTTGTTTAAGCAAGCCTATCCAGATACAGAACGCTGGCGTTTGTTTTAATCCGGCTTTTAGCTTATCGTTGATTTCAATTCTGTTTGGAATGGTTCAAATCGTTGTTTTTAACTATTTATTACTGGTAATTTTATTCTTTCTGTCAGCGCCTCTTTGAGGTTCCATTACAATCAAGTGGTATATAAACCCTTGGGAAACAATAAGGCACTTAAGGATGAATGCTGAATAAATAGGTCATCTGGAAAAGCCCAGGGGGGTAGTGTTCAATGCGCTTTGCAGAAGAGTAGGGATTTGAACCCAAGTCTTTGCAGTACAACATCTACTCTGCCATTGCTCTCTGGCTATTCCCTGTCAAGGGTGGAGCTCAGATCCTATGCCTGTGTGCAGGTTGAAAGGTGTGTGCAGGTGACAGGTGACATTCCAATGTCTGGCATCGAATGCCAAGGGGGCACTCTGCTCAGCCCTTGCTCCCACCCATTCATTCCAGGAAGCTGCACCCGGCTTGCCACCCCCCCCCCCCGGCGATGCTGAATTTTGCTTGTCACTTTTGACATTGCACAAAGGTATATGGCTTTGCGGCTCAGCGGTAGCTGAGAGGTTTCTGTCCTCTATCTGGGTGTATGGGAGAGGAACAGTCCCGCAAGGTGTCCTCAGTGGGTTTGAAACTGGGCTTAGGGATTGATGTATTATTTTGATGTATTTTTAATCTTTGTTGGAAGCCGCCCAGAGTGGCTGGGGAAACCCAGCCAGATGGGTGGGGTAAAAATAATAAATTATTATTATTATTATTATTATTATTATTATTATTAGAAAAGGAAGGAGCATGCACCACCTCCCTCACCAAAGACTGCTGCTTCCCACTGCCTTTTCATCTCTGCTGCTAAAGGGAGGAAGGGCTCACAAGTTCTTTCCTTCTGAATTAGCCCATTATCTAATCCTCTTTGCTGCAGCCAAGCAGGCACCACAAGCCCTGTAATGAACTGGCAAAGGAGCAGAATTAAGCAGAGCTTGCTGCCACATATGTACAAACAAGATGGCTGGAAGGATCGACAGCCTTCCTGTTCAAGACTGCTGTGTCCTTTGATGCAGCCGAGTCCTGGGCACCTTGTACCAAGGGGAAGAAACTGAAGCAGGTGGCACAAGGGGGTGACTGGAAGTCCACTTGTTAAAGGTGCAGAAGCTGGCCCTCCTTCACCAGCCTATGCATGCACACCCAGAAATCCCATTGAATTCAATTTATTTCCAGATAAATGCATATAGCAGGTATGGGGAAATCTGTGGCCCTCCAGATGTTGCGGGACTTCATCTCCCACCATTCTTCACCCCAAGCCATGCTAACTGGGCCTGGTAGGCATTTAAGTCCAGCACCTTCTAGAGAGCAATGGGTTCCACACTCCTAGTGTGTGAGATTGCAGACTCAAGAGCGAGAGGGAGGGCAAGGCTGGAAGGTGGATGTAAACGAGGCCTCCTCAGAACCTGAAAAGCTAAGGGTAAAGTCACTTGTTGGCGGCCTGTTGATTGAGCCTCATTCATCCTTATTTGTTCGCACAAAGGGTGCAGGAAGGTTAAGGGAAGTTGGCTATTTATTGAGTGTCCGTTCTGATTTGTTTGTTTGCTGCACCAAGCAATTGTTATCCCATGCAATTCTCTTTAACTTTCCTTATTGCAAAAGGTCTGGTTTGGGGGCCAAGGGGGAGGGAGGGAGTTTGCTGTGCAAAGGTGCCAAGTCAACTGTAATTGAGCACCCTGGTTTTGTCATGACGTCCAGGGGCATCTTACCCATAGAGGCTAGTGGCGTGGAGCGCCAAGTTCTGGAGGGCGCCAGGAAAGAGGTGGAGGCTGGACGCGGCACTTCCCAGCATCAGCGCATCGCCCTTGCCTGCCTCCACCATGCCACGCCAAAGCAGCGCCGCACCCGGAGCCTCCGTCTGCCGTAGCCGCCATGGCACGAAGTGGCCAGCTGAGCCAGGAGGCACTGCGTCCAGCCTCTGCCTCTTCCCTGCCCGAGGAGCCACCCTCCAGCCTCTGTCCACCTCCTCCAGCCCTGCCAGCAGTGCTGTCCTCCCTAAAAAACTCTGGGAAACTGGGGGGGGGGGCAGAGGGAGCTTTGCACCATGGCACCAGATATGCTTAAGACGGCCCTGATGACGTCACTGGATCCTACCCCAAAACAGCGACCATCTGGAAGCGCTGCCAGATGACGCCAGCAGGCACAAGAACTACATAATGTAAACTGAGAAGGGAACACTAATGGACATTTGGACAAACTCACCCTCCAGTCCATTGTTTTCAGCAAGCTGTGGCTCTAGGATCCCCTAACAAGCTGACTCTGTTTAGAAGCTTCCATTCCCAGGCTAGGACCCTCCTGGATTATTTCAGTGGAATGTTATTATGCATCAGTTCCTGTCTGGAAATGTGTTCAGCTGGGCTTCTATTTTGACAAGCAAAACTTGCCCGCCGTTTCATATTTTAAGAAATGGGAAGAGATCTTCCCTTGAAACCCCCGCCGCCACTTTTCCTGCTTCCCTAAAACGCAGCGGAGTGGATATTCCGCGTTGCCATTTGATTAACATTTCGCTAACGCGTGTGAGGGTTCTTGCATAACCCTGTTGAATTAAATATGAAAGCAAATGACGCCATCAGCACATCGCTCCCCTGAGATATTAAACTTGATCTGAAATTCAATTTGCTTTTAACCCAGCCTCGTAATTTGTAATGTACCGACAAAATTCATGTCAAGAATGCAGGAAGGTGGAATGGAGGAGCTGATGCAATTTCTTTGGGGGAAAGGAGATGTCTCTCCATGTCAGATTCCAGGCAGTTGCTGGAAGAGTTGGGAATTCAGTTGCTGTCGCAGGCTGAAGTGAAGTGAAGTGAAAAGTAAGTGTGTGCACACACACGTGTGTGTGAGAGAACCGGTTGATTACAGTTCCACTCCCCTGCAATATAAACAAAGCAGGTTTCTGCTTCTGCACTGTCTTTCTGCACATCCCTGCTTTCCACCTCCTCCCAACAACAAGACTATGATTGGGCAGAGTAGCTTCTTCAAGCCTTACATTTGTCTGTAGTGGAGACAATTACGCTTTTCTCCAGGAAAAAAAAACCCCACTCTGTATGCCTTCACTTTATAGTCACAACAAAGTCTGCAGCTCAATCACTTGCTGGCTTTGTAGGGGGGAAAATCTGCTGTTTTTATACAGCGTACGAACACTGCAGGTAAACGATTAGATAAGTGTTGCGATGAAATCTGAAGCCTCCTCCCCACAGTCAGAATCTAACTGATCGCCACACCTGGTAGCTAGGGAGAACTTTCCTCAGTTCATGTAAGCCTGCGTGTGACCTCAGAGGGTTGCTTACCTTTCCCTACACTGTGTGGTTGGGCGTCACATATATGAGTCACCTGGAGCCATTTGCTCTGGTCTGTGCAGCAGAACGCCTGCCATGGGGAGTGTAGTACACCAGCCTTCCTCAACCCGGTGCCTTCCAGATGTTTTGGACCACAACTCCCATCTGCCTCAGTCAGCACACTGAAGTCCAATATGTTTGGAATCTGGAAGGCACCAGGTTGGGGAATTTGCACTAGGCTGCAATTTGTGTGTGTGTGTGCACAGCATATATACCATATTGGCCTGACTATAAGCCGCACTTTCCCCCCAAATTCTGACCATGAAAAGTTAAAGTGCAGCTTATATTCACCACAAAGGGACGAGGGTGGCGCTGTGGGTTAAACCACAGAGTCTAGGACTTGCCGATCAGAAGGTCGGCGGTTCAAATCCCCGCGACGGGGTGAGCTCCTGTTGCTCGGTCCCTGCTGCCAACCTAGCAATTTGAAAGCACATCAAAGTGCAAGTAGATAAATAGGTACCGCTCTGGCGGGAAGGTAAACGGCGTTTCCGTGTGCTGCTCTGGTTCGCCAGAAGCGGCTTAGTCATGCTGGCCACATGACCCGGAAGCTGTGTGCCAGCTCCCTCGGCCAATAAAGCGAGATGAACGCTGCAACCCCAGAGTCGGTCACAACTAGACCTAACGGTCAGGGGTCCCTTTACCTTTACCTATATTCGCCACATTACAGTATATAGCCAGGAGCACGGGGCAAACAGCACCAGGAGCGTGGGGAGCGGCGGCATCTTCTCCTCCAAGGCCAGGAAGAGAGAGAGCGAGGAAGGGGAAAGGCCATCGGCAAAGCAGTGTGGCTCTCCATGTAGCCAGGAGCAGTGAGGAAGGGAGTGGCTTATATTTGGGTTTGTTTTTTTCTTCCCTCGCTCCCTTCAATTTTAAAGATGTGGCTTATATTCAGGCAAATACGGTATAAAAACACCTTTGTGTTGCTTCAACCTGAAACCTATTAGCCTTCTTTTGCAGCCTCTGAATTCGAATGAGGGGTACTTTTTAAAACTTGACCCGAATCAGGGTGCTTCAAAGAAAAGAAAAGCCGGAGGAATGATTCTCGTTTTAAATAGAAAAAAGAAGTGGAAAGGTTTTACATACCTGGAATTCTTCCTCCAGCACCACCAGTTGCCTGTCTTTGTCCACCTTCACTGAGGAGAGAGGAGACAAAAACCTAGTAAGGGGATTTCACCTCCATTCTTAGAAAGATCTGCTTTGCATGCGGAAGTTCCCTGGAGAACCACTGCCAGTCACTGTAGAAAATACGGTTCTGAGCTAGATGTGTTATGTACTGAAGTTTTCACCCTTGGCCAGCAGGGGGATACTGTAGATAGTTTTCACTCAGGTCCACATATGCAAATAAGGGATTGAAAGTGATGTTCAGTGATTGGATAGTTACAGAAAGTTGTCACAGTTGCATGGTACTAGAGCTCTATATAAGCAGTCTGGCTGAACCCTTCAGTTCAGTTCTGTTCTGGCCTGTGAATAAACAAGAGCTGCTTGAAGAATCGCTGTGTCGTCTGATATGTTCACCCACAACTTAACAAGATGGACATAAGAGAAGCAGGCTGGATCAGGCCAAGGACCCATCTAGTCACACTGGCCAAGCCAGATTCACATTATGGAAAACCCACAAGCAGGATTTGAGCACAAGAGCCAGCCACCTTGGATAATAGCCACATACAGCATTCTCCTCCATGAATTTGTCCAATCCTCTTTTAAAGCCATCTAGATTGGTGGCCAGGGTGGCGCTGTGGGTTAAACCACAGAGCCTAGGACTTGCCGATCAGAAGGTCGGCAGTTCGAATCCCCGCGACAGGATGAGCTCCCGTTGCTCAGTCCCTGCTCCTGCCAACCTAGCAGTTCGAAAGCATGTCAAAGTGCAAGTAGATAAATAGGTACCACTCCGGCGGGAAGATAAACAGCATTTCCGTGCACTGCTCTGGTTTTGCTAGAAGCGGCTTAGTCATGCTGGCCACATGACCTGGAGAAACTGTCTGCAGACAAACGCCGGCTCCCTCGGCCAGTAAAGCGAGATGAGCTCCACAACCCCAGAGTCGTCTGCGACTGGACTTAACTGTCAGGGGTCCCTTTACCTTTACCTTTTTAGATTGGTGACCATCAGCCCCTCCTGTGGGAGTTGCATCATTTAACTATATGCTTTCTCTCATCTGTCCTGAAATCTGTCCAATGGCCTGACTCCGTATAAGGCAGCGTCCGATATCCCTATGTTCCCGTGATACTGATGGGTTTTTGCTGCTGCTAAGTGAAAAGTCGTTTGTTTTTCTCCAGCTTCCAGAGGCCATAGGTTAGACTGTTTTGTGCCTTGAGTCTGTTCTGCATTATAGCACTGATCTTTTGTGGTTTCGTTATTGATATTTTAATTGTGTCCCGTGAATTTTTAATGATTTTGTTTTATTTGTTGGTATGGAAACTGCTTTGAGGTCACTTGGGTGATTTAAAGCATGATACAAGAGCACTAAATAAATGAATACATCAAAGCCCAGCCCAAGCTCCCTCGCCTTCACAAATTATGGGGCAGGTGGGGGGAGTTGTGAGCCAGAGAACTGCTGGTAAGACTGAAATGGCCCTTAAGTCAGTGGCCTAATGGTATACAGAAGGACTACAGCCAACAGCTCGTTTCACACACCCCTTCTAGTTTATCAGTGACATCTGATTAACCACAGTTAAGAATTGCCTATGCAGCTGCCAACAGAAGTTCCATCAGCATCAAAGCTACTTTAATACAAGGTGCACAGATCCCCAGCACATTTCAAGCTGGTATGCCTCAGGCTTCTCAGGTTAAAAAAGACAAACACCGCATTGTCGGAGAACTGCGTTCGTTTCTATTTTCTTTTTTAAAGCATTCCCTGACGAAGCACAAAGGCTTGAAATGCACCAGTATTTAGGTACCACCTTGGACTAAGGTATTGACGATGCCTGCTTAGGAGACTGCCGTTGTCACTTGTGAGATGTGGGGCAGCCCATCTGTTTTGCACTGAGTGGGGAAGAGCTGTAGCTCAGTAGTAGGGCATCTGCTGTGTACGCAGAAGATCCCAATTCTTATTCATTTATTTATTTAGGAGTATTTATACTCCAAGGGACGCGGGTGACGCTGTGGGTTAAACCACAGAGCCTAGGGCTTGCCAATCAGAAGGTCGGCGGTTCGAATCCCTGCAACAGGGTGAGCTCCCGTTGATCGGTCCCTGCTCCTGCCAACCTAGCAGTTCGAAAGCATGTCAAAGTGCAAGTAGATAAATACCTCTGGTGGGAAGGTACACGGCGTTTCCATGTGCTGCTCTGGTTTCGCCAGAAGCGGCCTAGTCATGCTGGCCACATGACCCAGAAGCTGTACGCCGGCTCCCTCGACCAATAAAGCGAGATGAGCACCGCAACCCCACAGTCGGTCCCGACTGGACCTAACAGTCAGGGGTCCCTTTACCTTTATTTATACTCCACCAATTGCATTTCCAATTAGAGCTGGGAGAGAACACTGCCAGAAAGTCAGAAGAGCCGTTGTCACTCAGTTTAGACAGCTGTCAGCTAGTTGACCATGCTTGGTGGTCTGATTCCAGCTTCCTGTGTTCCTATGGCAGAGGTGCCAAGCCACAATACCATAGCCCCCAATCTTAGGGGGGAAATAGGGAGGTGGCATGCGGGATAGTAAACTCACTCATTATGGCTGCATTGTTAGTCTCCTTCCGGAACCGGAACTTCTTCAGTTTCTCCTTCAACTCTGGGTCCACGTCACACACAACCAGAGAATCTGACTGCAATGGAAAAAGCAATGCGGGTTTTCTCCTCCAATCAAGCAGGCCATTCTTCTTGTTATTTCATTGCCCTGATGACCATAGCATAGTCTCATCTCCTTTAGAACAGTAATTGTGGGAAATTGCAAGCAAACTTAACTATGCATGACCTGCTAGTCAGTGCATGAAGGAGTTAAGGCGATAAAGCTGCATTTCCTAGACTCAAGTTAGGTCATGCCCCCCTCTTCTCTGTTGAGGAAGGAAGTGAAGCCTTCTCTTCCTGTTCATTTCTCACCCTCTCTGCACAATGTAACTGAGCAAGGAAGACATGCGTAAGCAAGCTCCAAGCTTAGAGCACATGTCTGAAGCTATCTTTCTGTATTTTCTACCCAAGAATGACGGGACGCGGGTGGCGCTGTGGGTAAAAGCCTCAGCGCCTAGGGCTTGCCGATCGAAAGGTCGGCGGTTCGAATCCCCGCGGCGGGGTACGCTCCCGCTGCTCGGTCCCAGCGCCTGCCAACCTAGCAGTTCGAAAGCACCCCTGGGTGCAAGTAGATAAATAGGGACCGCTTACTAGCGGGAAGGTAAACGGCGTTTCCGTGTGCTGCGCTGGCTCGCCAGAGCAGCGATGTCACGCTGGCCACGTGACCCGGAAGTGTCTCCGGACAGCGCTGGCCCCTGGCCTCTTGAGTGAGATGGGCACACAACCCCAGAGTCTGTCAAGACTGGCCCGTACGGGCAGGGGTACCTTTACCCAAGAATATTCTGCCTGTGTCTTTCCTGCTGCTGCTTAGATAAATGCACGAACCTGATCTTTGTAACGTTTTGTTAGTAAAGCGTTTTAAACTTACTTAACAGTGTGGTCGGTTCATTGCAAGAAAGGCAGAAAGAGGGAAGCAGTTTGCAAACACACTAAATGACTTATGCAAAAAGTTTAACAGCCTACAGTCCTAACACTTCACAGTGCTGCTTAACTGTCTGAGTTTACGCTTTGCTACTGAGGGCTCTCTCTGCTGGAGAGAGGCACCCAGCTGATTCTTTTGTTATTTACCCCCCACATTTGTGTCATAGGGAGCCATATTTTCTTCCCATACCTATTCTGTGTTGGTTGGTTTGGATTACTCAACTTTCCCAGCTCCCTCTGCAAAACACTTGCTTAACAGAACTTGCAAAACACAGTTCGGTGCCACAATGGATAAACCTCTGGGTCTCTATTAGGATGCTCTCCAAGCCAAAGCTCTCTGCAAGACCCTGCAACCTGTCCACCCATATCTCAGCTCACTTTTTCACAAACAGGGTCTCTTATAACAGAAAACTATCCCAAACAGAAATTTGTCCCAACTCTTCTCAAGCTCTTTGAGAGAAGGTCTTGCCCTTCGGCAGCTCTTCCCATTGCTGAAGGGGTCCTACAAGGCTCAGCACCTTTTCTCATAATCCACAATCTATATTTTTGCTGTTGTTTTAAGTGTGTTCATTCTTATATCAAACGCCACATCAGAAGGTCCCTTCATTTTGAAAGGTTGATCTGGCACTCAGGCTTGCACACACCACACAGGAAGCTCATGTCTGCCAACTGTCAAGATGTGGCTTCCAAGCCACAACAAAAGCTTCAAGGACGGAGGCAGCATTTTGGAACAAGAAAAGGCTAGAAACACTATATTTTGGACATCTTATTTGCATAATAACAAGGAGGAAGGGCTGAGTGGCAAGGAAAGAGGTCAGATTTTTGACAAGCAAACTTTCAAAGCAGCTCAACACAAGTATGGCGCAGAATCTACCCACCACCCACTACCCACTGTTTCCGACCCACGTTAAGAATTGTTTCAGCTAACCATTCTGTCTTAGGTCTCTCCGTGTCAGCTGAAATGCTGCAGCTCTGGGTTCAGCCGTTCGCCCCTCTGACAGGATGTGCAGATCTCTGTGCTCTTGCTTTAGTTAGGACACACTCTGCTCAACATCAGCACTTGCGAAACACCGCCAGGCACACACTCTTGACAGCTGCAAAGGAAAGACCGCTGGGGCGGAAGTCATTGCTGGTGGTAGGGAGGAGTCCAGAGAGAAGTTAAAGGTTTCCATTCGCAGTTACGAAAGGGGAAGCCACAGGCAGAGGACAAGAAAGATCCTAGAGGGTTCAGGATCAGACTCAAAGCAGGCTGGGCCTTTGAACAGAAGGACAGACACAAGCAGAAAGTAGGCGTGAACAGGGGGATTCAGTTACCAGCCTAATAACATCCAAAGGAGACTGAGTGATCTAGCTTTGGTAAGGTAAAGGGACCCCAGACCATTAGGTCCGGTCCTGACCGACTCTGGGGTTGCGGCGCTCATCTTGCTTTATTGGCCGAAGGGAGCCAGGCGTACAGCTTCCGGGTCATGTGGCCAGCAGGACTAAGCCGCTTCTGGCGAACCAGAGCAGTGCACGGAAATGCCGTTTACCTTCCCGCCAGAGCGGTACCTATTTATCTACTTGCACTCTGACTTGCTTTCGAACTGCTAGGTTGGCAGGAGCAGGGACCGAGCAACGGGAGCTCACCCCGTCACTGGGATTCGAACCGCCGACCTTCTGATTGGCAAGCCCTAGGCTCTGTGGTTTAGACCACAGCGCCACCCGCGTCCCTTTTGGTACCAACGCCCAATTGTACATAGGTGATGACTTCTCTCCAGGTAACTGGCACTGAGATTACTGAAAAGTGATGGTTGCTAATCACATTTCACCCTCACCTACAGTTCTCGAACTGTGGTAGAGTGACTACTTCTTGAATAAGAGAGACACACCAATCTTGATGAATCTACCAGCGCATGGCACCTGAAATAGAATCGTAGAATTGGAAGGGGCACGGAGAGTCATCTAGTCTAACCACCTGCAATGCAGGGATCTCAGATAAAGCATCCATGATAGGTGGCCACCCAACCTCTGCTTAGAAATCTCCAAAGAAGGAGAGTCCACAACCTTCCGCGGGAGACTTCCCTTGACCTGAACACTAGATTTCTGTTTATCTAGAATTGCATTAGCTTTTTTGCTGCTGCATCACACTGTTGACTTTTGTTAAGCTTGTAGTCTACTAAGACCACTAAAGGTAAAGGTAAAGGGACCCCTGACCGTTAGGTCCAGTCGTGGCCGACTCTGGGGTTGTGGCACTCATCTCACTTTCTTGGCCGAGGGAGCCGGCGTACAGCTTCTGGGTCATGTGGCCAGCATGACTAAGCCGCTTCTGGCGAACCAGAGCAGCGCACGGAAATGCCATTTACCTTCCCGCCGGAGCGGTACCTATTTATCTACTTGCACTTTGACGTGCTTTCGAACTGCTAGGTTGGCAGGAGCTGGGACCGAGCAACGGGAGCTCACCCCGTCGCGGGGATTCGAACCGCTGACCTTCCGATCAGCAAGTCCTAGGCTCTGTGGTTTAACCCACAGTGCCACCTGCGTCCCTTACTAAGACCACTGGAGCCCCTCAATTCCTTCATCCAAGTCATTTATAAAGATGTTGAAAATCAAGAGGCCCAGGGCAGTACCCTGCAACACTTGTCACTTCTTTCCAGGAAGACAAGAAATCCTTGGTGAGCACTCTTTGGGTTCACTCAGTCAACCAACTAGTATTCCACGTAACAATAAAATCACCTAGACCATATTTTACTAGCTTCTCTGCAATAATATAATGGAAGACATTGCTGAAAACCTTGCTGAAATTAAGATACATTACATCCATGGCATTCCCCTGGTCCACTAAGCTTGTAACTCTAAAAAAAAAAAAAAGATTACTGTGGTACGACTTGTTTTTGTGAAACCCATGCTAGCTCTTAGTCATCACAGCATCTTTTTCTAAGCGCTCACAGACTGATTGTTTGATTTGTCTGTGCTAGGACCCCCTCCTTTCTCTAGCCCAATGGTTGCCATTAATTTGATTCTCAATTGATTTTAGAATAAATTGATTTTAGAATGTATTTCAATTAATTGATTGTGATTTTATGTAAACTGTGCTATTTTTACTGTTGTTAGCCGCTCTGAGCCCGGCTTTGGCTGGGGAGGGCGGGATATAAATAAATAAATAATAATTATAATTATTATTATTATTATTCCTGGTTTTGAGGTTAAGCTGACGGGTCTGTAGTTGCCTCGGTCTTTCCCCCGCCTCCTCTCCACTTTTTGAAGATGGAAACAACATTTGCCCACCTCCAATCCAAATTCTCCAAGAATTCTCAAAGATTATAGACAGAAGCTATGAGATGACATTTGCAAGCTCCTTTGGTACCCTTGGAAGCATGGCCCTGGATATCTGAATTCTATCAAATAAACTAGGTGTTCCCTTAATACCTCTTGGACTGTTGAGCAGTTCCTCCTCTCTGTCACCCAATAGAAAATTTCCATCTTCGTGCAGAGGACATACTACTTGCATGGTCTTCCTCTTGCTTCAGACACAGCCAGGAGGAAAAAACAACAATTTTCTTATCATTTTTAACCTCTTTTGCAAGCCTGGGCTTGTTCTGGGGTTTAGTCCACCTGTTATATTCTCAGGGTGCACCATGGCTGCTAAATAACTGACTTCCATTAAAGGATACAGACTTTGGAAACACCCTTGAACTGGGTCTTTTCCCACTTCTTAGGTCACAGAATAATAATAATAATAATAATAATAATAATAATAATATCTTTATTGTCATTGCCCCCTCTCGGGGACAACGAAATTACTTGGCTGCTCCATCCACCCAGGTAGGGTGGAGTTGGAAGGGACCCCGAGTTGGAAGGGACCCCGAGGGTCATCCAGTCCAACCCCCTGAAATGAAGGAATCAACATGGCAGATGGCCGCCCAGAGTGGCTTGGGAAACCCAGCCAGATGGATGGGCTATACAAAATACAATTATTATTATTAATATTATTATTATTGTCCAACCTTTGCTTAAAAACCTCCAAGGATGGAGAGTTCATGCCATTGTCAAACAGGGATTTTTTGAGATCCTTGGCAAAGAGAATTGTGAGGTTTCTTTACACATCCCTCTTGGCTCATTGTGGACATAGAATCATAGAATTCTATTTTTATTTCCTTTTATTTCAGATTGTGTTTTTATTGCATTTCAAAATATGAACAAACACAGGAAAGGGAAAAGGACAGGCGTCTCAGGCATATAAAAGCTGAAGCAAATGAAAGTTATTAGGATCTAAGAGCTCATCTGAAAAATAAATACTGTATATAAAATCTATTTTCAATATTAGGAGCTTAGCTGTGTACTAATAGCAGGCAAGCCGTAATAGACTTTTCCATTAACGTTGACGTGTTTCGCCTTATTGTATTGTTTATTTTCTGTGTTACAGGATATGGACTGTGGGAAATAAAATGAAATAAAACCCTATCCGGTCGATACTCGACTAACTGTGCCGTAAACTGGGGGGTAATTCACTTTCATGTGCTTCATTCTTTGCATATACAATAAAACCATACCATATATCATGGAAATTATCACATTTCTTTCGTTGTTGTTTTTTGGCCCTTGGGACATTTTTAAATCTGTGTGATTTTTCCAGTTAAGGCCGTTTGCCAAACTGTGATGAAGTTTGTGGGGGAAATTTACAAGTTTTTACTCATTATTTTAAAGGCGAAATGCATTTTATTCTGTTTTATGCGTTTTATGGAATACATATAAACTTGGATTCGTTTAAAAACTATGCTGTGGAAAATTTTCCCATTTCTGGTTATGACTGGATAAATGAACAGGTTTTATTTCCTTTGAGGGCAACGGGCAGTTTAAGTTTCTTCTTTATTTCCAGAAGTAAAAGAACGAATAAATTTATGTCAGGTAACACTTGGGTCTCTCAGAACCCAAAACTATTATTTCATTTATTTTTTCAATATATAAATTGAACACACGCACGGGCACGTAGTGCTTGATACACTATTGTTCGGAATATGGGCCTAAAATGTATTGTTTATCGGACCGAGTATATCCATATTTGTGAGGGGCGGTTTAAATTCCTCAGAAAATTAAAAGCGAGGGAATGTCGTTGCCTGAGGAGACGCTTTGGGCGGGAAAAGCGAGCGCAGGGGGCGGAGCGTTACCTCGGAGGCCACGCCTCCGTCCCCACCCCACCGCCCCTTCCCGCCAGCTCATTGGCGGCTCGGGAGCTCAAAGCCCGCCTTCCGCCGCCGCTCAGTGGCGGCGGAAAAAGCGTGGGGTGGGGCTGATCTCTCTCCCTCCCTCGGATTAAGGGGTTGGAAAGCTCCGCTCTCCTATTGGAGGAGGTGGGAGTTCACGCTCCCCGCCCGACAACTCTGTGAGGAAGCCGCTGAGTGGCTGGGGCGGCTGCCCGTCGGCGCTTGACGCGCGGCAGCCTTAGCCAATGGAGAGGCGAGGGAGGCGGGGAGGAGGTGACGTAGCGGGGCGACGGCGCCGCGGACTGGAGCGGGGAAGAGGGACGGGGACGGGGGGCGGGTCCCGGCGCGGGCGCGCTGACGTCGCCGTGCGTTGTGACGTCGCGCGCCGCCCTCTGGAGTGTGTGGTATCTGGCGCTGTGCGTGTGTTTGCGTGTTTGCGCCGGCCCTGCCTGCCCGCCTCCCTCTGCCTCTCCCCGGAGGGGCCGCAGTGGGCCGCGGAGACGGTGAGTGAGGCGCCGGGGAGCGGTGGGGACGGCGGAGGGGGAGGGGGAGCGGGCCCTGAGGGGGAGCCGCGGGCCTCGCCCCCTCCCCCACCCCCTCCCCGCCCTGAGGGCCCCTCCCCCTCCCCAGTGGTCCTCAGGAGGTGGAGGAGGCCCCGCCCCAGGGGGAGGGGCTGGGCAGCGGGCACGCCCCTTCCCGAGCCCCCCCACCCCAGATGTGGAAATAGACACACTTTAGGGGGGCTGGGAGGGGCCTCCTCCTCACACCCCAGGCCCTGCTCCCCATCACCCCCACCCACCCCTTTCCCAGTTTAAGGTGTTAAGTCCCCTTCTCTTTGCCCCCACATATAGAGGCATTCATGTGCAAATTGGGGGGGGGTACTGAGCCCCTGTTTTCCCTCCTCCCCACTTGCCCACCCCATCACATTCCAGCTCCCCATCACCCCCACCCACCCCTTTCCCAATTTAAGGTATAAATCCTTTGCCCCCACATATGTGCAGATTTGGTGGGGGGGTGAGGGTACTGAGCCTCTGTGTTCTCTCCTCCCCACTTGCCCATCCCATCACATGCCAGCTCCCCATCACCCCCACCCACCCCTTTCCCAGTTTAAGGTGTTAAGTCCCCTTCTCTTTGCCCCCACATATAGAGGCATTCATGTGCAAATTGGGGGGGTACTGAGCCCCTGTTTTCCCTCCACCCCACATGCCCACCCCATCACATTCCGGCCCCAGCTCCCCATCACCCCCACCCACCCCTTTCCCAATTTAAGGTATAAATCCTCCTCCCCTTTGCCCCCACATATGTGCAAATTGGGTGGGGGGTGAGGGTACTGAGCCCCTGTTTTCCCTCCTCCCCTCTTGCCCGCCCCATCACATTCCAGCTCCCCAACACCCCCACCCACCCCTTTCCCAGCTTAAGTTATAAATCCTCCGCCCCTTTCCCCCCACATACAGAGGTATTCATGTGCAAATTTGGGGGGGGGAAGTACTGAGCCCGTTTTCCCTCCGCCCCACTTGCCCACCTCATCACATTCCAGCCCCAGCTCCCCATCACCCCACCCATCCCCTTCCCAATTTAAGGTATAAATCCTCCTCCCCTTTGCCCCCACATATAGAGGTATTCATGTGCAAATTTGGTGGGGGTGGGGGTACTGAGCCCCTTTCCCCTCCTCCCCACTTGCCCTCCCCATCACCCCCACCCACCCATTTCCCAAATTAAGGTGTTGAAGCCTCTTCTCTTCGCCACCCCCAGTATAGAGATATGCATGTATTGGATGATATATAAGCACTATGGGGGGCCTGGGCCCGTTCTCCCTCCTTGCCTCTCACCCACCCCTCACATTCCAGCTCCTGTTGCACACCCTTTTCATCAAATTCCTGCTCACCCTTTCCCCAAATTTAATATATTTAATACTCTTCTCCCCCCACCCTCCACCAATTTTAAAGCTGGGTTTAAGAGAAGGTTGCACATATCTGGGTGGAGGTGGGGCTCATAGAATTGTTGAGTTGGAAGGGACCACGAGGGTCATCTTGTCCAACCCCCACAATGCAGGAATCTGTTGCCCAGTATGGGGCTCAAACCCATGGCCTTGAAATTAAGAGTCCCATGTTCTACCAACTGAGGTATTTCAACGTCCAAGGACCTGTGATGTGTAAGGGGAACCACCTGTGCTCAGGGTTCAGTGCACTTCAACATACCATATCCTGGAGATTGGCAGTGTTGGGCTGGTGATGGTGATGTTGCTTTCAGGCCCTGCTTTCTGAGGGAAGCTGGGGTAGGTGTGCCTTTGCTCTGATCTAGCCGTGTTCTTGTGCTTTCTCCTCCATTGTTTGTATTCCATCTCTTAGGACTCCTCCACCTTCAATCCCTAAGATGAATTCTGGAGTCATAGAAATTGGAGGGAGGACCTTGACGGGCTCTAGCCGTGCTCCTCGCTTAGTGCTTAAAATCTAGCGCTAGAGCATCTCCCAACAGCTGGCTCTCATTTCCCTCTCTATCGATCTCAATTTGTGGTATCCATTCTTAGCTTTGCCCCAGCCCCAATACTGGGTGTTTTGTTTTAGGTGAGACTGAAGACCCTCCTTCCTTCCTAACCTAGATCATCCATCTTTTTCTCCCCACCCCATTCCACCATCAGTTCCACCTTTTGACCAGAAGTCAACATTCCCCTCTTCAAATCTAGGCATTTTCCTCACACACATTTTCCTCCCCAAAGCCCAGGAGTTGTGCTGATAATCATTATTAGCCCCTTGCACTTAAAATCCCTTCTTTCTACAGTAAGTAACATTTAAGGCTCCCTCGCTTGGTTTGGGCATTAACTATTAATCCAGTTATCCAGCCAATGATACGCTTATCTAGTGCTTTACCTCTCTCCTGGCCCAGGAACTTTCCACATTCAGCAAGCCTCCTCCCCACCTCCAGAAGCAGCTTCCCTTGTCTCCTCTCATCTGGAACACAACTTGGAAGGATCTTAAAGTGCCTTTCATCATTTTCTCCTCTCCTCGCCACTCCTTAGACCAAATGGGCACATCATAATGAAGCAGCTGCGCCCATTGTTCACCTAAGGGTCTTATTGGGAAATTTCTTCCCAGGTCAGTTTGTTTCCTCAGAGTTTTGAAAGGCTTCTCCAAGAGAGTCGGAACATTCTTATCCCTAGGCACAAGTTTAAACTGTTGCAGCAAAATGTATGTTCAGACTGCTTCCTGATGATCCCAGTCCAAAAGCTTGTGTTCTCCCTCCCCTTCAATAGATGAAAACTCATTGGTTGCTTTTATGACACCTGTAAGGTGGTTGGAAAGACGTTTACCATATAGAAATCCCAGTTTTCCTCTGGGCATTTAGATAAATGGATTCTCTGACTTAGGCTGAATGGTGACCCTCACTCCTCAAGGGAACGTGTGCTATTGGTGCAGAACGTGAGCATCTCTCTGCAAGAATTGAACACATTGGGGGTGGGATTTGGCAGGCTTATTGGTACCTTGTGGTGGTTGCACATTTAGCTCTTCCTGGTCACATGATCCTGGTGGGCTTGGTGTAATTTTCTGGTACCCTTTCAGTTTGAGTCTTGCACTTTCTGAATTTCAAGGCTCAACATACTGGGGCTTCCTCCCATCTTTCTTTTCCTGAAGGATATAAACTGATGACAACACCTGAGGTGTGAAATATTAACTCCTGAAATAATCGCATCTTGCTGTTTTCTTTGTATACCTTGGGATCACTGGCAGAAAGGGTTTGTGTATGGAAGAAAGTCTCTCTCTCTCTCTCTCTCTGTACTTTACTGTAATTGTGCTTTTTAGAACATTTATCTTTGGGTCTTCAAGTTAATATTGCAAAGAGGGAACTTTAATGACTGGTATGACCAGGCCAAAGTTTCCCAAACTTTTGGTGATGGGTGCACTTTCTTTTCTTGATTGAAAATTGTAGGCATGCTTCTTTCTTTCAGACATGTTACAAGTAAACCTTTCGTGGAGCCTTGTCTGCAATTGTGGGAGTCACTGGTGACAGTACAAACTATTAACACTAAGCATGATATATACTGGCAACCCTATTGTCAAAAGTTTCTTGCCTTATTGGTTGCTTGAAGCTTGTGGTTCCATCCTTTGTGTTTTTTCCTCAGGCTTCCTATCTTGCATTTAACACTCTGTAACCAGATTTGTCAGGACAAGAGATAAGAAGGCTGAGATTCTGCCATTCTTCTGCCTGCCTAGAAACTGCAACCAGAGAGCAAAAGCAGATTAAGAAACTTGGAAGGAGAGGTCATCTGTTACTGTAATGCTCTGTATCACTAGTAATGTGGTCCCAAATTCTGTGTCCATGACAGCTGTGGATATGTAAGGGCCTGTCAAAAGACTTTATTTGGAGGAAAGCTTATCTGACTCAAAATATATTTTGTGATGCGCTGCTGTTGAGTGTCTTTAGATTATAAAGTGACCCATAAGTCTCATTCTGAACTGTCTATTGGAAACTTGTTCTGGACGCTGTTTTAAGGTGGGTGTGTCTCTTACCTGGCTTGCAAGAAGACCCAACTAGTGCAAAGGGAGTAAACTTTGCACTTCACAATTAGTTGGGTTTTTAACTTCTGGGAGTTTTGCAAGGGTGTTGGAAATTGGGGTGAGTGCATGAGACGACGTAGGCGCTGAGGGCCATCATCCAGTTTGTCGTTCCATGAGCTGCTTTGCAGGCTGAATTACATGACAGGCTGGGATTGGCAAGTTTGTTTATCTTCTGGGCTTTCCATTCACTTGTCCTTCCTCTGCACACTTCAGCTGTGAAGCCGTTTGCTTGCATGCGCTACCATAGAGAGTAATTGGCTTGTGTGTGTATATCAGTATTGGGCTAGGCTCGAGCAAAGCTTTTTGGTTACCAGGGCACTGGTAGCTTTGTGGGGAGGATACCCCAGAGTTCTTTATGAATTTGCACAATGGCTAATTGTCTAAATTTATTTTATGTTTTATGTATTATTGCTGTAAACCGCTCTGATGTTTTTCTTTACATGATAAAGTGGTATATAAATACTTTATTTAAAAAAACAGACTTTGATTCCTAAAGCACAGGTAGGTAGGTAATAATTTAATAGTGATAATTTTATTATTTGCATGTTGCCCACCTGACTGGATTGCCCCAGCCACTCTGGAAATCAGCCGGAAAAGGGTCACGTGAACAAATAAAGTCTTGTCCACACATTTGCTTGAACCATATTCTGATCATATTGTGTACCGATTAATTCCTCCGGGTCCAAGAGCTTTTCTCCTTGTTCCACAGCTGTGCCTTGCGAAAGTTCAGTCTTAGCTGCTGAATTGAAGCTTGGCTAAGCAGAATTGCTTTTTTTGGATATTCCACGGGTCCGACAAGTCAAGCAAGAGTGTGGATGAGCCCTAATTCCGGGTGAACCTTATTGCTCTGTTTTTGTGTAGGCTCCTTTCTGGCTGAGCAGTATGTGAAAACTAAAGCTAGCCAAACTACGGATAGTAAAGCCGGGAGAATCATCAAGGCTTCGGAGATTCTCCCTCCCCAGGCCAGTGTTCTTTCTTCCTAATGAGCCGTTCACCTTCACTGCTTTATTCTTTAGCACAGTTTTGGTCAGCTAGAAGTGTGCCAATACAGACCTGACTCTTCCTCTCAAGTCCCACCTGTTGCTGTGATCAAGAGATGTAGTGTCGCTGGCCTCCTGAGCCCTGAAACCTCATTTTGAATCGGGCCTTTTGCATTCTGGTTTAAAAGTCCTTTTTGTAGCTCTTGGCAGCCCTGTTCCCACGTTTTGATTGCTCAACTGTGAGAACCAGGGACATGCTGGCCTTTTAAGATACCTGGATGTTTCAGGATCAGGGGCAGGTAGCTATTTGTTGGGGTAGCAGACTTCAGTTTCAGCATTACCCCTTTGGGGTTCAGAGAGAAAAGCTGCCACCAGCGCCGACTTGGATTCTTTGTGAAGAACATTTGTGCTGGGTTACTAGGATGGGGCTTATAATGTTCAGAGTTCTAGCCCCAGATTCCTTATGCAGCTGAAACCCACCTTGGATCAAATCTATGCTTCCAGGTGCCATAAGAAAGCTACAGAGATAGCGCAGGATAGCGCGCACCCAGGAAATGATCTCTTTCAGCTTCTGCCTTCTGGAAGAAGGTACAGGGTTATAAAGACTAGGACTAGCCGCCTGAGAAACAGTTTCTACCCAAATGCGATTTTGGTTTTAAATGCAGTGTAAGGCGTCTCTATGGGAGTATATTGTATTTAAAAATGGGGTATCAGAGTTTTTAGGGGGCTAACCAGGTTGGGATAGGAGACTTGTTGGGTTTTGAATGCTTTATGTAGATTTTTCAATTTCGTTGTTCTATATGGGACAATGACAATAAAGATTATTGTATCGTATCTTATACAGTGGTACCTCAGGTTACATACGCTTCAGGTTACATACTCCGCTAACCCAGAAATAGTGCTTCAGGTTAAGAACTTTGCTTCAGGTTGAGAACAGAAATTGTGCTGCGGCGCGGTGGCAGCAGGAGGAGGCCCCATTAGCTAAAGTGGTGCTTCAGGTTAAGAACACTTTTGGGTTAAGTACAGACCTCCAGAATGAATTAAGTACTTAACCCAAGGTACCATTGTAAACCAAAAGCAAAACTCCTAGTACAGGCAGCGACCATTTCGCGTGGGATGGGGATGTCTGTCCCTGGCCCCCATTCTGCCCTCTTCCATGTCCCAAAGTACCCGTGCTTTAGCAATCGTGCTTCAGTTGGACGTGCCTAAAATAGTCGCCACCTGTAGCTAGTATCGAAAGTTTTAGGCACAATTGCTCTACAGGAGTGGCTCCCAGTTGATGGTCCACAGACTCCAGGAGATCTGTGCTACCATCCACATAGCAAAACCTACCATAGAGATGCCAACATTTTCGAAAGTAGGGGGCCCCATGGCTTGGCTTTTGAACAACAGGCGGTTGGTCCACAGTATTTAGCTAATCTGGAACCACTGCTCTACAGGGTTGTGGTTCGGGGAGAAATTGGATGCTAAAGCTAGCCCCATGGCTACTAGTCACGATGGCTAATACAAATGACCTCCAGGACCAGGGGGAGAACATGCCTCTGAATACCATTCGCTGGGAGTTGCAGTTGAGAGTGCTGTTGCACCCAGGTCCTCCTTTTGGGCTTCCCTTTGGAGTTCCTGATTGCCAGAACAGGATATTGAGACTAGAACTAGATAGACCTTTCAGTCTGATCCACCAAAACCCCTCTTATGTTCTTGAAGCTTGGGGCTGTTGCCATCATGTGTTCAGAAACTTTGGGGGTTTCCGAATCCTCTCTGGCTTGCAAAGCCGGTCAGAGCCCTGCTTGAATATTGATAATGTTTTCCCTCTTGGCGGACAGTGCCTGCAACAACAACAATTATTTTATTATTCATACCCTGCCCATCTGTCTGGGTTTCCCCAGCCACTCTGGGAGACTTACAGCACATAAAAAAGTGTAGAACATCTAGATATACCTGAAGCAGCGTCTCCACCTCCATCGTTCTGCCCGGACACTGAGGTCTAGCGCCAAGGGCCTTCTGGCAGTTCCCTCGCTGTGAGAAGCCAAGTTACAGGGAACCAGGCCTTCTCAGTAGTGGCACCCGCCCTGTGGAACGCCCTCCAACCAGATGTCAGAGAGATAAACAATTACCAGACTTTCAGAAGACATCTGAAGGCAGCCCTGTTTAGGGAAGTTTTTAATGTTTAATAGGTTATTGTATTTTGGTGTTCTGTTGGAAGCCGCCCAGAGTGGCTGGGAAATCCAGCCAGATGGGCAGGGTATAAATAATAAATTATTATTATTATTATTAACCCCACCACCTTCATTTGATGGCATCAGGATGTGCCAGCTCCAAGGTGTCACAGCACAGAGAATAGTTCAGCCTGTCTTGCTCCCTGACCAGCGTCCGGATGGCTCTGCCAGCTGTTGGCACAGCCCCTTGCCCAGCTTCGGGTCTGTACCTGCAGACCCAAGCGACTCCCTCCTCCACATTACGTAGCTGTGGGTGGCATTTGATGTGCCTCCTTCCTCCTCTGAAGGTATAATTAGGGCCAGCTGCCTTGCTGCTCCTCCAGACTTCTGCTGGTGGCTTTTCTTGGGGACGGCATTTGCTTTGGTTGGCTCTAATTATAGTGTCCAGAGGATAGAGGGATCCAGACAGCCATTTCCTCAGTCTTTCTCTCTCTCTCTCTCTCTCTTAAAGACAGATGCTCTCTCTTTATATAAGGGCTTTAATAGAAACAGGCTTCTCTGTCGAAGAGTTCACAACTGTTTAAACCCAAGGCAGTGCCCCGACGGTGGGGAAAGCTGTGCTGTGCTCATGGATACAGCATTTTGTGCTCATGCCAGTTAGTTTTTAGGAAATTCGTTGGATTTTCCTTCTTGTGCTTTTTATCATTCGAAAGGCAGATAGTAAAATTATCCATAATTGGTTCTTTCCTCTGCACTGATAAGCAGGGGGAGTCTGCTAACGGATCTTTTATCCAGCAACACTGGCATTCTTTTGAATTCCCAGGCATTCAGTTATGTAATAGGTATAGGGTTTGTTGGCAGGGGGAGTTACATGTGTCTTTGAACCCATGCTTTTCATTTTGCTTCTGACTCCTTTCAAGGCCGTCGGGCCGAGTCACTTTCAGGTGCTGCTGTTTCTTGCCTCAGGTGTTCAAGTTGTATGGCTCCTGCAGTATTATCAAAGTATATACAGTCATACCTGGGGTTACAGATGCTTCAGGTTGCGTTTTTTGGGGTTACGGACCCGCCAAAACCCGGAAGTACTGGAATGGGTTACTTCCAGGTTTCGGCAGTTGCGCAGAAGCACTAAATCGTGCTTTGTGCATGCACAAAAGCGCCAAATCGCAACCCGCGCGTGCGCAGATGCGCCACTGCGGGTTGCAAACGCGCATCCCGCACGGATCACGTTCACAACCCGAGCGTCCACTGTATATAGTACTTCACGTGAGCAAGAATGATGGGGGAGGGGGTCTCTGCTCTGAGGACCTTTGAGTTTAAACTACCGTGGTACAGGGGGAATGAAACGGAAGAGGCCTCATTTCTATAGCATTAGTGTGCACAAGTGGTTGGGTGTGAGGGGCTACTATTGTTTGGCTTTCCCTTGGTTGCCTTCAGAGCCAGCTGCGTATCCTTGGTCAGTGCCAGCCTTGACTGGTGTGCCAGTCCTGCTCACAGGTCTCCAAAAGCTCTTCTCTGGGCAAGAGCAGTACAGGGTTGGAAAAACGCCCCAGTCAAACCAAAGCAAATGCTTAGTGATCGTGGCCTCGGTTGGCATTCCTGGATTAGAAGGGTGCAAGAAGCGATTCCAAACCTGTAATTCCTGCATCGCAGTGGGTTGGGCTAGATGACCCTTGGGTACCTTCCAACTGCACTTCTGTGATTCTGTGAAAGGGGCTCCACACTCTTGAGTTCGCTGTCATCATTACTCTGCATTTTGTAGTTCAAAACGTTGAGCCTTGTGTGAACTGTCCAAAGCAGTTGCCCCTGGACTCTACCTCCCAGAGACACGTCTGAATTTGAACTCTGGTCCACCAGACCCAGGCCTAACATTTCCTTGAGTCAGTATTTTTTTTGCAACCAACTACTATGCCACCCTTCAATATGAATATTCTCAGGGAGCCTTTCACTATAATTAAAAAGTATCATTTTAAAAACAAATGCAAATGGGCCTGGGTGTTCCATTGTCACCACATTGTGTTGATAGACGGGAGTTTTTGAAAGCAGCGGATTGCATGGGGTTCTGTTTGCCCAGCATAATTTTGTAGGGTACAGACAAATATGGAGGGGTGCAAAGATCCTCATCCTTGACTCTCGTTCTCTCTTACAGGGGGGTTCTGAGACATCCTGCTGAAGTGGAATAATCCCCAAAGAACCCAAAGATCTTCGGAACAGCAAAGCCTCCCTTTCCATGCCATTCTGCTTCTCTGCTAACAGGAAAGTCGGTGTTCTGGTCTGTGGCCTTCTGCCAAGCCTCCAGACTTGAGGTTGAAACCATGTGAGGGGTCCTTCCCCCCTACCCCACCCCAAACCCTGGTGCTTCCTTGACCCCATTGTGGGTGAGTTGCCGCCGAACCCGAGGTGCCAGCCACCATGATGTTCCGGGACCAGGTGGGCATCCTTGCTGGCTGGTTCAAAGGTTGGAATGAATGTGAGCAGACGGTGGCCCTGCTGTCTCTCCTCAAGCGCATCTCTCGCACTCAAGCCCGCTTTCTGCAGCTGTGCCTGGAGCACTCGTTGGCAGATTGCACAGAGATCCACGTTCTGGAGTCAGAGGCCAACAGTGCAGGTAAGTCAGCTCTTTTTTCCCTCTGGAACTTACGCCTAACGTCCTCGCAGTCCGAATGGATTCAGACCATCTGCTTATGTGGCAATATTGCCACGGGTCCTTAATTGGGTTGGGCACACTCTGGTCGCTCAACTCCAAAAGGGTTTTGTAGAGTTGGGAAAGGTTCAGAAAAGGGCAACCAAAATGATTGAGGGGCAGAACGATGAAGAAGGGTGTTGCCAGCCCAATGGTGATGTTATGCGCTAAACCAGGTGTTCAGGCATCTCTGCTTCCTCGCGAAAGGTGAGTTACCTATCACAAAACGCGCCTGGCTAATTTCGAACACTGGTCACCTGGTATTCGTGTGAGCATGGCTCCAGTTAGCTGTGGTGTCTCAGAGCTGCTGTTTAGCAGCTTCACAAAGAAGAGGTCCAATTCTTCAGAAAACTCCCCATGGCTAATGGCCGTTTCGAAGCAGCGAATTCCATAGATTAATTGTGTGTTGTGTTAAAAATACTTCTGACAGGTCTCAACCTATTGCCAGTCGTTTTTTATTGGGTGACTCGGCATTCTGATATTAAAGGAGGAGATAAAATTATGTATCCATTCCTTATTCATGAAGCTCTGTGATTCATCCCCTCGCACCACTTCGCACACTGTGATAGATAGAAGACCTGCGTTTGCCCAGAGCATATGGTTTAGCTGCAGCTAATTCCGGCTCTGTGAGTGGGCCTCTCCGGTACACATGTTTGCAAATGCACGTTCTCTCTGATTCACACTCTGCATTTAAGTGCTCGCCTAAAAATTGCAAATGGGTCAAGGAGTCCCGTCCCCCCCCCCTCGTGACTGAACACTGAGGAAAAGTAGACCTCCTATAACTAATCTCGGATAATTTGCAGATTAGGAGTGCATAATGCATGCACTTTGGGGGTGATCAGCCCGTGGCATCTGCCTCCTTTTGCCGAACGCCTGATAAGGACCAAGTGTCCTCACAAGTTCCGCTGGATCTTGCTAAGCTGTGAGAACTCCATGCCACTCAGTTAAGCTCCATTCCCCAAGCACACGCACCCCCTTCACCACCCCCACCCTTGCAGCTGACACACACAAGCGCCTCCCTTTTATCTGTGAGGCAAAATGCAACTCCTACAGCTCTCTAATAATAGTGTAGCCCAAGATTAAGGCAAAAGGGAGAAACGAGGTTGAATCCACCGAATCTCTTTCGGAGGCTTCTGACGTAAAGCCAGGAGACAATTCGGAGCACCCTCAATCAACCTCCCCCCCCCCCCACAAAAAACAAAGCCCTCCAGATCCTTTGGACTACAAGTCCCAGCAGCCCCAGCCAGGTGGCTGCTGGGAGCTGTAGTCCGAAACATTTGGAGGGCTTCAACTTGGGGAAGGTGGTCCTAAAAAGAGCCTGCTTTTGTCTGCAGAAGAGCTTTCTCCTGCAAGTTCTGAAAATCTCAGAAGCCTGCTCCGAAGTAACCGAGAGCAGGGCTTTTACTGTAGTTGCTCCTGTTCTGTGGAACGGTATCTCTGTCTATACCAGGCATCCCCAAACTCAGCCCTCTAGATGTTTCGGGACTACAACTCCCATCATCCCTAGCTAACAGGACCAGTGGTCAGGGATGATGGGAATTATAGTCTCAAAACATCTGGAGGGCCGAGTTTGGGGATGCCTGGTCTACACACTCCAGAAACAACTGAAGGTGCTTTCGTCCAAATATAAGGATGTAAGATGAGCCTGCAGGATCAGGCCAATGGCCTAACTAGTTCAGCATCCTGTTCTCACAGTGGCCAACCAGATGGCCCATTGCAGAACGCGTTGGCAGGATCCGAGCACTCTTTCCTCACCTGTGGCTTCCAGCATCACTGTCTGAAAAACACCACAATGGTACTATGTAAATTGATTCATTTGTTTGTTTTATTTTATGCTGCCTTTCCACACACAAAAAAAATCGTGCTCAAAGCAGCTTACAACAAAGAAAAACAGGAATGCATTTCAAACAAACACTACGAAAACTTATTACAGGCAGCCACTTGTTTACACACATTCAGTATGATTGTGCATGTGTGTATTGTGCCGAACCCAGACGTGACCTGAAAACGTCATAAAGACGTCACTGAAAGGGAGGGTGCGGAACGGGGTCTTTGCAGGCTTTTTCAGTGGGTTTCAGTTATACACAATTATACCGATGTGCTCCGTGCCTCGGAACATAACCCCTGCGTAAACAAGGGGCTGCCTGTATTATTATGGTTTTCTTTATTAAATTTGTATGCTACCCTTCTCAGGGCAGTTCACAACAGAAAATTACAATAATAACCAATTTTACAATAGCACAGTGAAACAAAAATATAATAACTTAAAAAAACCCCCACATTTCAGTACAGTGGTACCTCTGGATAGGCACACCTCCGGTTGCGTATCCTTCAGGATGCGAACATGGCTAACCCGGACGTATTTTTCTGGGTTTCGCCACGCGCACATGCGCAGAAGCGGTCCCTCCGGTTGCGGAAACCTCGGGATCTGACCGGAGCTCCAGAACAGATCCCGTCTGTACCTTAAGTGTAACTGGAATGATTAAACAACGTGCAGCATTCAATAGCAAAAAATAATAAGGGAGCTTCACAGTTTCTCCTTAGTCCTAGAGCAGCTGATGTTGCTCAGTGTCCTTCTCCCGCAGCTCTCTTAGTCTTAATTCCCCTCGTTTACTGATGCACACCCACCAAACCCGAAAATCAGTTGCCTTGTTATCTTTTCATTCAGCAGCCTAACAGCCCACGGACAGAAGCTGTTCTTTACCCGGTTGGTGTGACTAATCATGCTTCTATATCTTCTTCCTGAGGGCAGGAGATCAAGAAAGCTAAAATCTGAATATAAAACCACAAAGTAGATAATCAATTCATTCCTTGTAAATGATATATAATGAAATGAAAAGGATGTTTAAAGTAACCTTTGTTAAAAAAACAACAACCAGAAGCTTTTCTTTTGGGAATTAAAGGGACAGAACTACCTAAAATATATAGAAACTATAGAAACTTGCAGAAACATATTCATGTATGCAACTACAGCAGCAAGAATGTTACTGGTCCCAAAATGGAAAGAAGCAGAAGTCCCAGTAAAGGAAGAATGGATACAATGGAAATATGGAGAAATAGCGAAAGTTACCGGAAAATCAAGATAACAATTTTTTAATAAAAGAATGGAAATGGTTTATTGAATATTTACAGATAAATTAGAAACAGATAAAAACATTGACAGGGTCATTGTAACAACCTGCAATTTTATAAGAGTATATATTTAAAGAAGATGAATAAATGAGTAAATTAAGTTAATTTGGATATGCAGAAGATAATAAAAAGTTTAAGGAACCGCAGAAAGAGGGGGATGGAAGTCAAGTTTTGAAATGTCAAAATTAGTGAAATGTATAAAACTAGCGAAAGGTATAAACTTGAAATGTATGTATGTATGTACAGTGGTACCTCGGGTTAAGGACTTAATTCGTTCTGGAGGTCCGTACTTAACCTGAAACTGTTATTAACCTGAAGCACCACTTTAGCTAATGGGGCCTCCCACTGCGCCGCCGGAGCACGATTTCTGTTCTCATCCTGAAGCAAAGTTCTTAACCTGAAGCACTATTTCTGGGTTAACGGAGTCTGTAACCTGAAGCGTATGTAACCTGAGGTATCACTGTATGTATGTATGTATGTGTGTATGTATAAATACTAGGGACGCGGGTGGCGCTGTGGGTAAAAGCCTCAGTGCCTAGGGCTTGCCGATCGAAAGGTCGGCGGTTCGAATCCCCGCGGCGGGGTGCGCTCCCGTTGTTCGGTCCCAGCGCCTGCCAACCTAGCAGTTCGAAAGCACCTTCAGGTGCAAGTAGATAAATAGGGACCGCTTACCAGCGGGAAGGTAAACGGCGTTTCCGTGTGCGGCTCTGGCTCGCCAGAGCAGCGATGTCACGCTGGCCACGTGACCCGGAAGTGTCTCCAGACAGCGCTGGCCCCCGGCCTCTTGAGTGAGATGAGCGCACAACCCTAGAGTCTGTCAAGACTGGCCCGTACGGGCAGGGGTACCTTTACCTTGTATGTATGTATGTATGTATGTATGTATGTATGTATAAATAAATAAATAAAATGGAAGAAAGCACATAATCAAAATGAAAACAGCAATAAGCCCCCCAGCACATTTGAAGAGGGCATAGGATGTCAATCAAATCAACTGAAATCAATCAGTCGTCCCCAGCAGCACCAGATATTCTCTTGACTTGCCCCTCTCTCTTACCCCAACAGCTGTCATCAGTCAGTGGCACCAAGAGCCCAAGGACAAAGTAGTCTCCCTGCTCCTCTCCCACCTGCCTCTCCTCCAGCCTGGCAACACGGACGCCAAGTCCGAGTACATGAAGCTCTTGCAGAAGGTGCTGGCCTACTCCATCGAGAGCAACCTCTTCATCGAGGAGAGCCGGCAGCTCCTCTCCTACGCCCTCATCCACCCGGCCACCACGCTGGACGACCGCAACTCCCTGGCCCTGTGGCTCAACCACCTGGAGGAACGCCTCTCCAGCGGCTACTCCGGCCAGAGCAGGGGGCGGCCCGACACGGCCTACCACTCGCGCCAGGGCTCGGACGAGTGGCAGGGCCCCGTGGACACGGGCCTCGGAGACCTGGGGCACGGCTGGCAAGAGAAGCCGCCACGGGAAAATGGGCACATGTCCTTCCATTCCTCTGGATCCGTGCCGTCGGCCATCAACAGTATCGGGAGCAACGCAAACACAGGTGCGGAAGGCAGGGCGGAGGGGTGAGGAGGGTCTGTGAAACAGGCGCTGTTTTGCTTGGGAGGGTGAAGGTGGGGGTGTTTTCCTGCAAAAAAATAAATAAATCTAAAGTCTATGTCTTGGGACATAGAAGACCTTCCCAATTCACTAAGGTAGGTTCTTGCCCCTCTAAAAGCTTGCCCCTGGAAAGAGTTAACCAATTCTGATTAGCTTAGTATTTCCCAGTTTTTGGTGAAATGGATTGGAAATAAACTGAGCTGTCTGTTTCGAGCCAGAGGGAGCTCTCTCATCTCTGGAAGGAATCTTGTCTGTTGATATCAAAAGCTGTGTGTCTTGATTTCCTATGCCAGAGCTAAGAAAACATTTCAGATTTGTAGGCACTGCAAAGGACTGTGTGAAACTTCTTTGGTTGGGTGATCCTTGAGGCCTAGTCAGCCAGTTGGGTCGTTCCAGTTCCTTGCCTGAACATCATCATCATCATTATTATTTATTAAATGTATTAGTTGCTTGTTTTGCCATGTCTACTCAAAGCAACTTACCAGAAAAGAAAATACATTAAAGCATTCCACCTACTCTAAAAGACAGACAGCTAAAAACCAAAGGTCTGGTTAAAAAGTAATGAATTTGCCTGGTGCCTGAATACATAATCATCATCATCATTATAATAATAATAATACCCCACCTAACTGGGTGGCTTCCAGCAGATATGAAAACATAATAAACATCAGACATTAAAAACTTCCCTATACAGGTCTGCCTTCAGTTGTCTTCTGAAGGATGTATAGTTGTTTATTTCTGACATCTGGCAGAAGGTCATTCCACAGGGCGGCACCACTGCCAAGAAGGCCCTCTGCCTGGTTCCCCGTAACCTCAGTGTCCAGGCTGGATGGTATGGGGTGGAGACGCTCCTTCAGATATACAGGGCTGAAGCCGTTTAGGGCTTTAAAGGTCAGCACCAACACTTTGAATTGTGCTTGGAATACATTGATGGTGCCAGGTGAGCTTCCCTGGGGAGAGCATTCCACAAATGGGGAGCCACCACTGAAAAGCTGCTGCCACCCTCCGAACCTCCCATATAGGGGGCACACGGCGAAGGACCTCAGAAGACGAATTGGTGGTTCTCGGTGTATTCCTCCTCAAACTTCCTTCCGGTCAGGTTCACCCAGAACCTACATTCTGGGTAATACAGCTACTTGACAGGTTCAGAATTTGTAAACTTTCCTTCGTCCTGAAATCTCTCCTAAGCTGCTGAAGGCTTCCTGATGATTTCGCGGCCCGAGTGTGGGGCCTTTGTCGGCAGGTCCTAACCATCTCTTCCCTCCTTCCAGCTCTCCCCTGCCAAATCCACCCCAGCCCGCTGAAGCGCTCCATGTCCCTCATCCCCACCAGCCAGCAGGTCCCCAGCGAGTGGATGAGCGTGGACGAGATGGGCGCCCGGCCAGCCTTCATCCCCGGCGGGGAGCACGCTCCCCTCTCGCCCCAGAGCAGCGTGGCCTCATCGGGCAGCGAGCAGACGGAGGAGCAGTCTGGCAGCCGAAACACCTTCCAGGAGGAGGGGAGCGGCATGAAAGGTAGTTTGGGAGGGGGAGGGTGCTGCTGAACTCGACAGCCACTTTGGCGGACTGGGGTTCTGTCCTCCTGGGTCAGAGACTGGTCTCAAAGATGCATGCGCCGGTCCCCAAACTGCAGGAAACCCCGTTCTGCCAAATCGGCTTGATTTGATTTAATATTTGTATTCTGCTTTTCCAACAGCAAATGTTGAGCTCAAAGCGGCTCACAACAATCGCCGTAGCATTAAAAACATTGCAGCCGCTGTAATAGCAAACACAGAAACATAGAAATAGAGCCAAACCGTTAGAGCATGAGACTCTCAGGCTCGTGGGTTCGAGCCCCATGTTGGGCACTCCTGCATTGCAGGGGGTTGGACTGAATGACCTTTGTGGTCCCTTCCAGCTCCACGATTCAACAATTCTTACAAAATCATCAAAACAATGCAGTTATAGTAATTCAAAATATCGGAAAGAGCTGCTGAGCACCAGCCCTGATAATGGGGTATGAGGATTCTGCAAAAGGAGTCCTCGGACGTGTATGTGTAGCTGCATCTTACAGGGTCAGATTTAAGGTGCTGGTTTTGACTTTTAAAGCCCTTCACAGCCTAGGACCCTCGTACCTACGGGACCGCCTCTCCCGGTATGCCCCACGGAGGACCTTAAGGTCCATATATAGCCATACCCTAGAGGTCCCGGGCCCTAAGGAAGTTAGATTAGCCTCAACCAGAGCCAGGGCCTTATCAACACTGGCTCCGGCCTGGTGGAACCCTAGAGGTCCCGGGCCCTGTCTCTTGAGACCAGGGCCCTGCGGGATCTGATCTCTTTCCGCAGGGCCTGTAAGACAGAGTTGTTCCACCTGGCCTTTGGCTCAGAATCAATTTGATCCCCTCCTTTTTCTTTTTCCTTTCTCCTGTGATGAGATTGCTCCCTAATTGTTTTAATATTGTATCTTAATCTTTTAAATTGTATTTTAATCAACTTGTTTTTATTATTGGTTGTTAGCCGCCCTGAGCCCGGTCTTGGCTGGGGAGGGCGGGGTCTAAATAAAATTTTATTTTATTATTATTATTATTATTATTATTATTATTATTATTATTATTATCTTTGAGCAGTCCATTCCGTCCCCCTCAAACTTTGTAAAATGGCACAACTGCCCATTCTCTTCAGTCCTTCTTGGCTTGCCATGTTCTCGTGCCCAGGAAGCTCAGGAGGAATCACTTGCCTGGCCAGTGCATTTGTGTGTGTAAGTTAAATACAAACACACCTCTTGCCTGTTCAGCCCCAGGTCGAGGCAGCTGAGTCTGCAGCAGTCAGAGACTTGATGGTCCCAATGGGAGTCGCAAACATATGCTTAGCCTTGGCCCCTCCTGTAGACCCTGTTACTTGGGAAACGTCCTTTTGTTTAAAAGACACTGCTATGCCGATAGACATAGTCCTGACCAAGGGCGGTAAGAACACTCCCCATTCTGAGATGCCTCATTGCTGGGACAGTTCGCTGGCACTCAGTTTTTTACTGCTCTTCGGCTGTGCTGGGCAGCCTTCCCCAACTTGTTGCCCTTCAAGTGTCTCGTCATTCCTGACCATTGGCCGTGCAGGATGAGGCCGGCAGGAGTTCATTCTACTCCTCCTCTCAAAAGGGAGACCAAGATGGCTTTCAGCACAAGAAAACACCCCCCGAAAGACCTTAAAATATTTTTAAAACATTTCAGTTTTCAATCAACATAAAATGACATGGTTTATAAGTTTTATGAATACACATGGTTCAGGCAACTTCGCTTCTGTTGCGCCGCAAGGGCCTGACCCAATACAGTTTGCCTAGATTCCACACTCCGTGACATTGGCTCACTCACAAGGCTGTCCCCCAAAGGTGTCTTAACCTCTCGACCGCTCTCCACAGATGTCCCCTCGTGGCTGAAGAGTCTTCGCCTCCACAAATATGCAGCCCTCTTCTCCCAGATGACCTACGAAGAGATGATGACCCTCACAGAGCAACATCTGGAGTCGCAGGTACTGCACAAGGTGCTTAAACCAGAGTCCTGGGGGCGACTGCTTTGCAAGCAGGGGGGACTGGGGAAAGAAAGCATGTCTAGTGTTGATCCTGTGCCACCAGGCTGTTGGAAGACCTCTTACCAGGGGCCCTTTGGGTTTCTGAGAAGCCATTATTATTATTAAAGGTAAAGGGACCCCTGACCACTAGGTCCAGTCATGGCCGACTCTGGGGTTGCGGCGCTCATCTCGCTTTATTGGCCGAGGGAGCTGGCGTACAGCTTCCGGGTCATGTGGCCAGCATGACTAAGCCGCTTCTGGCGAACCAGAGCAGCACATGGAAACGCCGTTTACCTTCCCGCCGGAGTGGTACCTATTTATCTACTTGCACTTTTGACGTGCTTTCGAACTGCTAGGTTGGCAGGAGCAGGGACCGAGCAACGGGAGCTCACCCCGTCGCGGGGATTCGAACTGCCCACCTTCTGATCAGCAAGTCCTAGGCTCTGTGGTTTAACCCACAGCACCACCCACGTCCATTATTATTATTATTATTATTATTATTATTACTACTACTACTACTATTATTTGTTAAATTTGTATAACTTCCCATACCCACAGGTCTCAGGGCGGTTCACAACACTATCCACATGACTTTAAGCCTTTCCTTACAACTTTGAGGACTGCCACCCCCAAAGGAAAGCCTAGAGGCTTAGGAGTTTTTTATGCAACCTGACATTGTTATGCTCATGCATGCTTAGAGCTTCTGTGGCTGTTTTGTAAAGGCGGATATCGCTTGAGACCATCCATTCTTGGGGGGCCTCTGCACATTTTCAAACACGCTTCTTCCTCCGAGGGCTGGGCAGTGGCTACCTCTGCTGGTGGGTATTTCAGCTGTCCCTCTTTTCCCTGACCAGAACGTCACCAAAGGAGCGAGGCACAAAATCGCCTTGAGCATCCAGAAGCTGCGGGAGAGGCAGAGCGTCCTGAAGTCTCTGGAGAAGGTAAGAGAGCCAGCTGAAGGTGGAGACTTTGCTACTGAGAGGCAGGGCTGGGCTTCCAAGGGTCTCGTAAGCTTAATGGTACCAGTAACGCACAGCTGATGCACATTTTAACCCGTGTGATTTCAATTTGATGTGGTGGAAATCACGCAGATTTAAATGCATGGAAGGCGGAGAACCCAAAAGCTCTTTTTGCACAGGGTTTTCCCCTAATAGCTCTCTGTCTTGCTTGTGGTTATGGGGTGCTTCCAAGGGGGTGGTCCCATGTGTATGTGCCATCCCCAGAACATAACCCCCTCTTGGGTGCTAGTTTCGTGTATGAAATGGAACAGAATTGTCATTTTTTGAGTATCCTGTAGCTGTGGGAAAGACAGCGTGTCTAAAATAGGAGCTAAGTGCGTCCAAAATCTGATTTAGAATAACAGTGTAACTAAACAATCATCATCACCATCAGTGTTTTTTACGGGGTACGCAGGGGTACACATACCCCTCAACATTTTGTGAATCTAAGTTTGGCCTCATTGAGGGGGCAGTATTTCAATATGAGTAGGAAAATGAGAGCACTCCTAAACATTTGTTTCAGAAAAAAGCACTAATAATAATTTGTATATACCGGTAGGTCTCAGGGTGGTTCACAACATAAAGTTACAATATATGAAGCACAAAATACACAATAAAATTATTCAAAGCACAAACTACATAATAAAAATAATGAAAACATATTAAAAATAATAAAAAACAATTAACAATACGAATGTATACACACTAATAAACAATATGCCTCCCAACGAAAGTCCCTAAACAATACTCTAGTCCACGAGTACGGAAATCCAAATTAACTTCGACAAAAGCTCATTTCCCTTAATGCTTCCAGCCGCTCCTCCTCCATCTCCCCCGCCAAAAAATTCCCCTCTTCAAGTTCTCCTTTTTCTCTCCTCCTCCCCCTCTCCCCCTCCCCCCGCAGGACATCTTGGAAGGTGGGAACCTGTGGAACGCCCTCCAGGAGCTGCAGCAGATCATCATCACCCCCATCAAGGCCTTCCACGCCCTGCAGGCCATGGCAGCGTCCAAGGAGAGCCAGCAGCAGCTGCCAGCGGAGCAGCGCGGAGCCACCAAGCTGTGTCTGGACAAGAGCGGAAACCCCTCCGAGGACAAGGACCCGGCCACCGACACCTTCCTGCCCCCGACAGGCTCCCCTTGCGATGGGGAGTCGGGGGCGGCGCCCATCGCCGAGGGGGACATTGCAGGGCAGTTCACCCGGGTGATGGGCAAAGGTGAGGGCTCCGGGTTGCCACCAGGTCTAAAGCGGTAGGATGCGCGCCGCCCAGTGAACCCTCTTAACACCTCATGGTCCCTCGTAGGTTTAGGGTTGGTCTTTTGAAATGGCCGGGTTTCCGTGCTAACACTGCTTTATTCCGTCGGCCTGCAGGGCCTCTTGCCCCAGAGCCCCCGAAGTTAAAATGGACATGCAGACCACTCAGGTTTCCAAAGACCAAGGGGGCGGCCACCTGTGCGATGGGTGAATGATCTGAAACTTAGCAGCAGAGCTCCTTACCTCTCTCGCCCTGACCTAGCCACTGTGATCTACGCGACGGTCACCTCCAGACTGGATTACTGTAACTCGCTCTATGTGGGGCTGCCCTTGAAACTGACCCAGAAACTCCAGCAGGTGCAGAATGCCGCGGCGAGACTCCTTACGAGGTCCTCGCTGCGAGATCACATTCACCCGGTGCTATACCAGCTGCACTGGCTCCCGGTGGAGTAGAGGATCAGGTTTAAGGTGCAAAAAAAAAAAAAAAAAACAGCGGAAAGATGTCAAATCCCGCAGGCCCCTAGTCCCTTGTGACAGAGCGTTCCACCAGATCGGGGCCACGGCCGAAAAAGCCCTGGCTCTGGTCGAGGCCAGCCTAACCTCCCTGTGGCCCGGGATCTCCAAGATGTTTTTATTTGACAACTGTAAGGTCCTCCGTGGGACATACCAGGTGAGGCGGTCCCGTAGGTACGAGAGTCCTAGGCTGTATAGGGCTTTAAAGGTTAAAACCAGCACCTTGAACCTGATCCTGTACTCCACCGGGAGCCAGTGCAGCTGGTATAGCACCGGGTGAATGTGATCCCGCAGCGAGGACCCCGTAAGGAGTCTCGCCGCAGCATTCTGCACCCGCTGGAGTTTCTGGGTCAGTCTCAAGGGCAGCCCCACATAGAGCGAGTTACAATAATCCAGTCTGGAGGTGACCATCGCGTGGATCACTGAACCTTTTTCTGACTGCAGTATCCTTTTTGAGGCGAGGCGACTGCAGCCGCACACAGTTTTCCAGTTGTGGTTTCCCCGTAGATTTGTGTTAACAGCATTACAACAGCGGCAGTTTTATTTTTCAGTTCCTTTCTTCCATTTCCCCCTGCAGTGTGTACGCAGTTGCTGGTCTCCCGACCGGACGAGGAGAACATCACCAGCTACCTTCAGCTGATAGAGAAATGCCTGATGCACGAGGTAGGCATTGGGCTTCCCGGAGGGGGTTAGGGCCCCATGTCCGCCCGCTCTGCCCATCCCAACTCACGCCTGCCCTCCTGTGCCCTCCCTCCAGGCTTTCACAGAGACGCAGAAGAAGAGGCTCCTGTCCTGGAAGCAGCAGGTGCTAAAGCTGCTCCGGACGTTTCCCAGGAAGGCCGTGCTGGACATGCAAGGCTACCGTCCGCAGAAAGGGTGAGTCTACGGGACAGGATTAGGCCAGGAGGGTCCTCGGTCAGGCAGGGCAGCCTTCTGCCACGGAGGGTTCTAAGACTGGAAGATAGGGTTTTACGCGGCTGTTGTTGTAGTATTATTTTATATATATATATATATATGCTTTCGTAGATTTTCACGGGTACAGGAATGCAGGTTTTGGTGTCCTCGGGTGTCTTCCCGTGTAAAAGTTGGGGTGTCTAGGCGACGTTTCGACGAGGTCTCACTCGTCATCTTCAGGCTGGTGCTTTCGGCTTCTTGTTACTGGAACAGAGCAGGATCTCAGTGTTTGAGTTCCTATAAATACTGTTGAGGGGGTGTGGTGTATAGCCTCCAATGTTCTGGGCAGAGAGGAAGTTCCCAGGCTAGTGTGCCTTTTCTTCTTTTGTTCCTTAATTACTTGAGGGATATCTTGAGTGATTTCTTGAGTGATATCCTGAGTACCACTTAGGTGGGTCATTAGGTGTGGATTAGTTGCTAAAGCCTTCGTGTTTTTCTGAGAAGATGGCTGTACTGCACTTAGTTGTGCTCTGGCTTGGCTTCGTGTATAGGGGCGAGATGTGGTTTTGTGGCTTGTGCCAGCCAGATCTGTGTAGGGATTGCAGGGGGGTGCAGCATCCGGAGGTGCCAACATGGTTTGGCTACTGGATGGTGTCTGTAATTTATCTGTGGAGAGGGTCTGGGTTTGGGTCTGGTGTGGTTGATTGGTGATGGGGTATAAGGCGGTATACAAATTTACCAAACAAACAAACAAACATATATATATATATAATATGTTTGTTTGTTTGTTTGGTAAATTTGTATACCGCCTTATACCCGCAGGTCTCAGAGTGGTTCACAATATTGTTCCTTGAGTGGAAGTCCTGACCGAATTTCATTCTAATTTGCACTCTACATAGTGACATTAGCTCTAATACTCCCAGGCAACTTTGTAGTACCTCCCTTAGTACAGGCAACCCCCCCCCCCCTTACATGCGTTTGAATCATGTGTGACCGCGTAGGTGCGCATTGCTGCGAACTTGGAAGCGGCATTAAAGGGGCGAAAATGTCTCCCCGAAGATCGCAAAAATGGCACAGAAACGGCTGTTGTTATTATCTTGTTGTTGTTGTTGTTTAGTCGTGTCTGACTCTTTGTGACCCTACGGACCAGAGCACATAATAATAATAATAATAATAATAATAATAATAATAATAATAATAATTTTATTTCTACCCCACCCTCCCCAGCCAAGACCGGTCTCAGGGCGGCTAACAACCAATAATAAAAACATCACTCCTATCTTCCACTGCCTCCTGCAGTTTGGTCAAACTCATGCTGGTCGCTTCGAGAACACTGTCCCACCATCTCGTCCTCTGTCGTCCCCTTCTCCTTGCGCCCTCCATCTTTCCCAACATCAGGGTCTTTTCCAGGGAGTCTTCTCTTCTGCTGAGGTGGCCAAAGTCTTGGAGCCTCAGCTTCAGGATCTGTCCTTCCAGTGAGCACTCAGGGCTGATTTCCTTCAGAATGGAGAGGTTTGATCTTCTTGCAGTCCATGTGACTCTCAAGAGTCTCCTCCAGCACCAGAATCCAAAAGCATCTATTATTAATTCAAATCACCATAATTATCACCATAATTCAAAAGCATTGTTATTATCTTACTATTTATTAAATTTATTGGTGGCTCTTTCTTGCCAAAGGCAACTCAAAGCAGCTTGCAAGCAAACACTTCTGCTCAGAAGAGCAACACTTTCCTTTAGTGCCTTGCGAGCAGCTGAGGTACTAACTGCTATTATGACAAAACACACCTTTCTCTTGCTTGCTGATGAAAATAGAGCCACAACACTGTCAGAGCTGTCTTGGAAGCAGCTGCCTAAGTTCGGGAACGCTTAAAAGGGTTGGGGCATTGTTGCTTAATGAATTCTCTGAAACAATACGAACGACTTTCCACCTTGCCTGAAAAGGAGGGGCAACATCTCGTCAAATTATTCCTTTCATGCTTAAGGGAAACTGTCGTCGCTTAAGTCAGCATCCTATGAAAGCAATCCCCTATTGTGGAGTTGGTAATATGTAAATCTGAACTGCCTGGCTCTTGAACAGTTTTGATCAAAGCCATTGATCGGTTGACAACCCTGTTCAAAACACAGGAGAGTGGTTTGCGTGGGCTTGCTTTCTGCTGCCTCCTGGGGCCTGCTCGTCTTTTGGGAGTGCGGTTTTCCTTTTGTGCGGGTTGTGTGTGTCTGGTCTGTGTGAGGAGTAGGGGAAATAATAACAATAATAATATTATTATTAAAAGCAGCCTCAGCTTTTGTAGCTGGAGTCAGTCTGGGCCCTGACGCCTTAGGCCTGCAAGGCGGGGAGGCACTGGAGGTGCAAATGACTATCAGATTTGAAGTTTTTAATCACTGGATTGGGTTCATCAGTTTTGTTGAATTGATTAAACTAAATGGTTTGAACCAGGTATTGAATAAATGTGCAATTAATGGTTAGCATTTTGAATTTTATTGTGTTGTTATCAGTGGGTCATGTGAACCGCTATTCTGAATGATGCTCTTTCTAGGGTGGGGTACGGGACACGGGGTGATTTTCTGGAACCAAGGGGGCTAGTGGCCAGAAAACGTTTGGGGGCCACTAGAGCAAAGGTAAGGGTGGCCAGCCTGTGGCCTGGGTTTGGGTCACAGCAGCCTTATTGTGAAATTCTACCTGTATTCACAAGTGATGGTACTTAACAACTGGACTGACTTCTCTCTCTCTCTTTCCCCATCCCCACCCCGCTTTGGTACTCTTCTAGATGGGCCTTTGGTTCCAATTCTCTCCCCATAGCTGGATCTGTGGGGGTGGGGGGGTGGCCCGCAGAGGACAGCGGCAATTCCAGATGCCCCCCCGCGCCATTCCTCCCAGCCGCCTGGGGATCCTGAGCCCTGTGGGGATCGGCGGAGTCTCCCCTCGGCATGCTCTCACCAGCCCGAACCTTGGGAGCCAAGGGCGGCAGGTAGGAAAGGGATGGGAGGGAGGGAGGGAGGGTTCCCTTTATAGCCCTGCGCTAAGGTAACAGGAAGGGACGCGGTGGCACTGTGGGTCAAACCACAGAGCCTAGGACTTGCCGATCAGAAGGTCGGCGGTTCGAATCCCCGCGACGGGGTGAGCTCCCGTTGCTCGGTCCCTGCTCCTGCCAACCTAGCAGTTCGAAAGCACATCAAAGTGCAAGTAGATAAATAGGTACCACTCTGGCGGGAAGGTAAACGGCGTTTCTGTGCTCTGCTCTGGTTCGCCAGAAGCAGCTTAGTCCTGCTGGCCACATGACCCAGAAGCTGTACGCCGGCTCCCTCAGCCTGTAAAGCGAGATGAGTGCCACAACCCCAGAGTCGTCCGCGACTGGACCTAATGGCCAGGGGTCCCTTTATCTTTAAGGTAACAGGATGCCTCTGAAAGGCAGCCTGGCCACCTCTCCATTAACCCAAGAGGGCTCCTTCAGAAGGGGGCATTCTAAGCCGCCTTACTTGAGCTGCTTAAACTGAAGCATTGGTGTGTTTTGAAAATGGGGGATTTATTACCAGGGACATGCAACGTGCTCTGTTGCGGAAATAATCTTAGAGGGACACAAGCAGTGAGCAAAATGTGTGGAGTTGCCTTTTGCTGACAGCACTTGGCGAAAAAGATGTTTGTGGAAGGAAGGTCTCGACTGTGTTGTACTCCGGTGCAACCCCAGGGGTTTGGCTGACAGCCTATCTCAGGGGTAGCCAGGCAAGTGCCCTCCAGGTATTTTGGATTACAACTCGTCTCCTTCCTGCCTGTGGCCCTGCGGGCAGCAGCTGTAGCCCCAGACACCTAGAGGGCACCAGGTTGCCAAAGGCTGTGTTGTAGAGATGAGGGAGATGGAGCAGACCCCATATTAGCATTGCTACATACTCTGTGAAGATGGCGGCTAATAATAATAATAATAATAATAATAATAATAATAATAATAATAATAATTTATACCCTGCCCTCCTCGGCCAGAGCCGGGCTCAGGGTGGCTAATACCAGTAAAATTACAATAAAAACAAGGGGGGGGAGAGAAACAAAAAAAACAATTTAAAATACAGGTTAAAAATACAATTTAAAATGCAGCCTCATTTTAATAATAGCCCATAGATCAAGACCGTAAGGGGAGGGAAACATAAGGGTCTGACTGAGTCCCAACCAAAGGCCAGGCGGAACAGCTCTGTCTTGCAGGCCCTGCGGAAAGATGTCAAGTCCCGCAGGGCCCTGGTCTCTTGTGACAGAGCGTTCCACCAAGTCGGGGCCAGTACTGAAAAGGCCTTGGCCCTAGTTGAGACCAATCTAAGCAGCTTGCGACCTGGGACCTCCAAAATGTTGTCATTTGTGGACCTTAAGGTCCTCCGCGGGGCATACCAGGAGAGGCAGTCCCGTAGGTACGTGGGTCCAAGGCCGTATAGGGTTTTAAAGGTCAAAACCAGCACCTTAAATCTGATCCTGTACTCCACCGGGAGCCAGTGCAGTTAGTAAAGCACTGGCTGAATGTGATCCTGCGGCAAGGACCCCGTAAGGAACCTCACCGCTGCATTCTGCACCCGCTGGAGTTTCTGGGTCAGCTTCTAGGGCAGCCCCGCATAGAGCAAGTTGCAATAATCAAGCCTGATGGTGACCGTCGCATGGATCACTGTGGCCAGATCAGAAGAGGTGCCCAGCTGGGTCAGCACCCTGGTCTCACACTTGCCACCCAGGTGCCCCAAACAGTAACCTGCAGGCGAGACTTATTTGGGGCATGTCAGGCTTCACCCCTCTCCCTCGGCTCCGTGGCAGTAACTCACCTACTGGGAGGGGTGGTTTTTGGTGTTTGTGTGTGTGTGTGTGTGTGTGTGTTTTGTTTCTCCAGTTTGCCCCCCTGTTTAAATCAAATTCTCTTTTCCCCTCCAAGAACCTGTGGTTTGCCAACCCCGGGGGCAGCAACAGCATGCCGGGCCAGAGTCGCAGTTCTGTCCAGCGGACCCATTCGCTCCCCGTCCACACATCCCCCCAGGCCATCCTCATGTTCCCACAGGGTGAGTCAGCCAGATTCTTGCCTTCAGTGTCAGGAAAGGGGCGTTTGCTTGGCCATTTGGTCCTTCTCAGAAAAATTTAGCCACAAACAAAACAGGCACAGCGCTGGAACGCAAGCAATGAGTGCCACTGGGAACGTGCAGACTGCTTTTTCCTTGCTTCTGGGTAACTCCCGGCGGCTCATAGAGCAGCTGCTGCGAGATCTCACTGCAGGACTTAAACCATGGATAGGCAAACTGAGGCCCAGGGGCCGGATTCAGCCCAATCACCTTCTAAATCCATCCTGCAGACGATCCTGGAATCAGCGTGTTTTTACATGAGCAGAATGTGTTCTTTTATTTAAAATGCATCTCTGGGTTATTTGTGGGGCCTGCCTGGTGTTTTTACATCAGTAGAATGTGTGCTTTTATTTATAATGCATCTGGATTATTTGTGGGGCATAGGAATTCGTTCATTTTTTCCCTCCAAAATATAGTCCAGCCCCCCACAAGGTCTGAGGGACAGTGGACCAGCCCATGGCCGAAAAAGGTTGCTGACCCCTGACTTAAACCTTTGTGGAGGCAAGAGGGAGCACTGTCCTTGCCCCCTGACTTTCCCATTGACCAAGCAAACAAGACTGGATAGCTGAGTCGGGGTCGAGCGTAAGACTCTTAATCACAGGGTTGTGGGTTCAAGCCCTGCGTTGGGCACAAGATCCCTGCGTTGCCGGGGGTTGGGCTAGATGGCCCTCGTGGTCCCTTCCAGCTCAACGACTCTTTGATTCTGTCAACCTGGGTCAGAATGGGCAGTGACCGCCTGCGATTGCGTTTTCCCCTCTCCAGATTGCCAGCTCCCTGGAACAGACCTGGAGATCAACCCTACGCTGGAGTCCCTGTGTCTCAGCATGACGGAGCACGCACTGGGCGGTGAGCGGCTTCTTTTACTTTCATTCATTTATTCAGTGCATTTCTAGCCCACCTTTTTCTCCAGAGAGCTCAAGGCGGCTTACGCCTCATTCAGCCCCCACAGCAACCCTGCGGGGAAGGCTAGGCTGAGAGGCAGCGGCTGGCCCCTAAGGTCACCCAGGGAGGGCTTCGTGGCCATGGGGGGCGGGATTCGAATGCTGGTCTCCCAGGCTCCGGTCCAGTACTCTAACCGCTGCACCACACCAGCACCTGTTTTTATTACATCCAGATTCTCACCTTTACTTTTACATAGTTTGAGACAGTTAATATTAAAATATTTTACAAATACTAAAAGCACAATAAAATCTATTAATAAAGCTTGTTGCATTGCAAAAAAAAAAAAAGGACAACAGAACCTCAAACATTAAAAATCTTCCCTAAACAGGGCTGCCTTCAGATGTCTTCTAAAAGTCAGATCGTTATTTATTTCCTTGACATCTGATGGGAGGGTGTTGCACAGGGAGGGCGCCACCACCAAGAAGGCCCTCTGCCTGGTTCCCTGTAATTTCACTTCTTGCAGCAAGGGAACCGCCAGAAGGCCCTCGGAGCTGGACCTCAGTGTCCGGGCTGGACGATGGGGGTGGAGACGCTCCTTCAGGTATACTGGGCTGAGGCTGTTTAGGGCTTTAAAAGGTCAGCACCAACACTTCGAATTGTGCTCGGAAACTGGGAACCAACATCCTTTCCCATCTATTCCTCCACCTGCTATAATTCTGCGCTCTCTTTCTCTCTCTCTCTCTCTCCAGATGGCACCGACAAGACTTCCACCATTTGAAAGAAGCTGCATCTGCTGATGTTCCTGAGAAGCTTTAGGGTGGCTGTTTATTTTTTTTCCCCTTCCCCACCCCTTGTTTTTGTTTTTTGTTATAAGCCCCTCATCTCCCAGGGGTGTGTTTGCTGTGGGGGGGGGCGAACCCCTTCCCCCACGAAACCACCTCCAGCAGTTCCCAGCCGCCGGAAGGGAGACAGAGGGGGAGAAAAAGCTGTCACTACAATCTCACCGTCTTACTGTGTTCTAATATTTCTCTCCCCCCCCTACTTTTTATTATTATTATAACTTCAGCTATTGGTTTTTAATACGTCGACGTGCACAAGGGAGCAGGTGGGCAAGAGGCTCCTAGAAGTTTAACTGGCAGGAGGGCGGAGGAGGCTGAATTTGGGTCATGTCGCCCCCTTCCCCTTTGGGGTTTTTCTCGTTTTCTCTTTCCCTCATCTCCCTCGCCCCCCTCCGACCGCCTCGCCTTCTTCCTCCTCCTCCTCCTCCCTCTCCTCCTCTTGAAACAGACCAGCCAAGGTGATGAGACTGGTCCTCTCCTGCTACCTGGATTTGGGATGTTTTAGATGCCTGCCCCATCTGCGGCCAGGACACGGGAGGGGCATCGTGGGGTTACCTGGGCGAGCTGGTTTCCGTCTGAGCTAACCCAGCTGACAGCTTTCCGTACCTGGCATTGGAGGAGGAGGAGGAGGAGGAAGAGTCTTAGTGGGGAGGGAAGGAAGGCATTGGTGCTGCAGGTGACTGACACAGTTTTTTTAAGTGCCTCTAATACTCCCCCCACCCCTTTCCCGAGAGCAGGTGGAGAAGGGCAGGATGCAGCGGGGGGTGGCGCAGCCCCACACCGGAGTGCTCAGCTTTGCAGGCTTGTCCCTGGTTCTTTTTATACATACATACATATAAATATATATATAGATATATAAATGAAACGATGTCCATATGCTACCTCTTAGGGCCGCCTTCCCCGGACCCAAGTGCCCTCTCTCGACCCGATGGGAGTTGTCGTCCGAAACGGGTCGAGGGGGCGCACTTGGTTGGAGAAGACGGTCTTTGGGGAACTGGGCAGGAGAGTAGCAGGTGGCAGTTGAGGAGAGACGTCCGGGCCGCCCCACCGCCACCCCTAGATTGAGAGTGCCGTGGCCCTTTGGGCGCTGGGGTTTTGGACCCCTTCGGCCGCGGCCGACTCTCAGGTGTGCAGGGCGTTGGTTGGGGAGCCGGACCTAGTTTCGTTGAAAGAGTTCAAATGGGTTTGAGGGGTCAGCCAGCAGTTTCGTGGTTTAGGATCAAAGTTCTTTTCTGGGTTCAGCTGCTATGGGTTCCTTGTGTCCGGCGCAAGGTGAATTTTCTCTTCTCCCTCCCATAATTGCAAGGCGGGGGGGAATGTCCGAAGGCTGGTGGAAGAGGAGGAGCAGTTCTGTTGGCGGGTCTCGAAAGCTCGGCCGTTCATTTTCCTAACATTTGGGGGTGCACAGTGGTCTGTCTTCCCTGAGACGGGTTTATGTGGGGGGGGGTGGTGGAAAGATTGAGTGGGTCACAGCAAAAGCCATGGTGGGTCCCTGACCACTTGTGGGGGGGGGACCACCGCCCCAAGTTCTGCGGCGGTTTTCTGGTGCTTACGAGTGACTGGCGGCACTCCTGGGTGCAGGTGGTTGGGTTCACGGTGCTGATGAATTTGCAGGAGCCAAGCCGAGATCCTCGCCCCCCATGACCCAGGAGGCAGTTGGCGGCTGAGGGATCAGGGTTGGGGAGCAGAAAGCCCTCCTGGGCAGGAATCCCAACGGGACCAGAAGGCTTCTCCATTTTAACTCCAGGCGGGTGGATGGTTTCTCTGTTCTGGCATTTACACAAAACACTACAGGGGGGCAAACGGCTGCGTCGGGACCCTCCGGACTTCCAAACCTCCCGCCACCAGCCCTTTGGGGTCAGCGTTCTGCAACGAAACGGCTGCGGAACAGGGGGGTGATTTTTACCGCCTTCAGAGGGGCTGAGACGCTGGCTGTTCTTTTTTAAAAAAATAAGAAAACGACTAATGGGAGGCCTTTCTGTGCAGGCGGAGGGTGAAACAGACGTCCTAAGCGTTTTCAAGACCCCCCATCCACGCTTGGCGCTGGGGGGGGGCACTTCCAAGGTGCAGGATGCCCAAGGCAGCTTGTCAGATGGGGGGGGTGTCTGCGGGAGGGTAGCCTTGCTAGTTTCCCTTGCGCCCCGACTTTGTTTGTGCGTGTGCATGCGAGTTGGGTGTGTGAGTGTGCCTTTCTCCCCCAAAGCCACTGTTTTTCGCATGATGGGCAAACCCCCCAAACCCCAAACCCCTTTCCCCGTTCTCCAAAAGCTGACCTTGGCAGGCTCTTAGGTACAGAGGACCTTTCCATCGTTCTCTTCCTCTCCCCTCTCTCGCCCTCCGAGAACTGTTTTAAATATTGAGAAAAAAAGGCCTTTCCCTCCCTACCCCCCCCAAAAAAGTATACCGAACAGTAGCATACAGAAAAACCCAGAAGAGCAGACCTGAGAGAACTATTTCTTTGAAAAAAACAACAAAAAAATTAGAGAGACAAGGTTCCTGTTTCAGATAGAAATGTTATTTTAGATACATTTTATTATGAATAACTTTTGTTATGACTATGGCTGGTAACCATGAATACGTTATTTAAAAAAAACAAACCACAAAATGTTTTACAAAAAAAAAATATCCAAATTCTGACTTTAGATTGCTTTGTTGGACTCCTTTACCGCTTTTTTCCCTTCTTCCAGTTTTTTGCTTTGTAAAAGGCATACAGAATTTAAGTATTAGCCCTTTTTTTATTAACCTCTATGATAAAGCTGTGCTTATTTTGTATTAATTTCTTTTAAAACGTTTGGGTTTTTTATTTTTATTTTGGTTTGGGGGTTTTTTTGTGGCGAGGGCGGCGGGTTGACAGGTCGACATGGGGAGGGGGAGGGGGCTCCCGAATTTCTTATGGATAGCAGGACTATCAAAGCCTTTTTCACCAACCGGGGGGGGGGCGAAAGGTTAAAACCTTTGCAGTTGAGACCCAAGCACCATTTTGCACCCATGGAAGAGACTGGGGTGGGGGGGTGTGCTGGGCTACGCAGGCAAACACACCTTCCTCCTTAAAGACCCCTTGGGAGAACTTACGGCCAGAGGCAACTCTCTTGAAGGCTTGCAGCCTTGATCCGCACAACTCCTATTCATTCATAGTCAACGGACCTCGTGGGAATTGTAGGATTGGATGGGACTTCCAACCCCCCTGTAAATTGGGAGGTCTTCCTGCTGGGTTGCCCACCCTCTAGACCAGGGGTCAGCAAACCTTTTCAGCAGGGGGCCAGTCCACTGTCTCTCAGATCTTGTGAGGGGCCGGACTATATTTTGAAAAAAATAATAATAATGAATGAATTCCTGTGCCCCACAAATAACCCAGAGGTGCATTTTCGATAAAAGCACACATTCTACTCATGTAAAAACACCAGGCAGACCCCGCAAATAACCCAGAGATGCATTTTAAATAAAAGGACACATTCTACTCATGTAAAAACACACTGATTCCCGGACTATCCGCGGGCTGGATTTAGAAGGGGATTGGGCTGGATCCGGCCCCCGGGCCTTAGGTTGCCTACCCATGCTCTAGACAGCGGTTCTCAACCTGTGGGTCCCCAGATGTTGAACCACAACTCCCATCACTCCTAGCTAGCAAGGCCAGAGCTCAGAGATGATGGGAGTTGTAGTCCAACAACATCTGGGGACCCACAGGTTGAGAACCGCTGTTTTAGAAGGAAGACGGACTTGAGTGAACTGGCTGGGTTTCCCCCCTTGGTTCTTGGCAGGCGTATCTCCTCACAAGGGGACAAAACACAGTCAAAGGGACTCTCGGCGTTGCCGTCCGCACTCCAGAATTTCTCTTGGTTTGAGCAGCAAATGCTGTTGCGATGAACCTTCTCATTCGGTTGTTCGGGGTGGGGGGCGAAGTGTCCTCAAACCCAGCAGGTATCTTGGTGGGATCAGGAACAAAACACCAGTCACAGAATTGCAGAGATCGAAGGGGCCCCTAGAGTCATCCAGTCCACCCGCTGCAATGCAGGAATCAAATAATTCAGTCTCTGCTTTGAAAACCTCCACCGGAGGAGAGTTCACCTTGCGAGAAGTGCGCTCCACTGTTAATAATAAAATAAAATTTTATTTATATCCTGCCCTCCCCAGCCGAATCCGGGCTCAGAGCAGCTAACAACAGTAAAAGTAACAGTTTACGTAAAATCACAATCAGTTAATTGAAATACCATATTTTTTCCTCTATGACTCACTTTTTCCTTCCTAAAAAGTAAGGTGAAATGTGTGTGCGTCTTATGGAGCAAATGCAGGCTGCGCAGCTATCCCAGAAGCCAGAACAGCAAGAGGGATTGCTGCTTTCGCTTTGTAGCGATCCCTCTTACTGTTCTGGCTTCTGGGATTCAGAATATTTTTTTTCTTGTTTTCCTCCTCCAAAAACTTGGTGCGTCTTATGGTCTGGTGCGTCTTATAGAGTGAAAAATACCGTACATTCTAAAATCAATTCTAAAAATCAATTCAGAATCAAATTACAGTGGTACCTCAGGTTATATACGCTTCAGGTTACAGACTTCACTAACCCAGAAATAATACCTCGGGTTAAGAACTTTGCTTCAGGATGAGAACAGAAATTGCACGGCGGCAGCAGGAGGCCCCATTAGCTAAAGTGGTGCTTCAGGTTAAGAACAGTTTCAGGTTAAGAACAGACCTCCGGAACGAATTAAGTACTTAACCCGAGGTATCACTGTAATGACAACCATTGGGCTAGTCGGAATCTCCTTCCTTGCCACTTGAATCCACTGGTTCGGGTCCTCTGGAGCAGAAGAAAACGAAACAGCTCTGTCAGTAGAGCGTGAGAATTGTAATCTCTGGGTTGTGGGTTCAAGTCCCAGATTCTTGCATTGCAGGGGTTGGGATGGATGACCCTTGTGGTCCCCTCCAACCCTGATTCTATCCTAAGCTTGCTCCATGCGACAAACCTTCAGATGTTTGGAGGTGGCTCTCACATCCGCGCTCAGCCTTCTCCCACGGTAGAGCCCCACGGTAACCCAACTCTTCTCATCCTCCCCCTGCGACTTCACAGTGCCCTCAAACGCTTGCTTGCCCGGCGAGGTCTTTTCATAGCCTGGCACAGACGCATGGGGCAGGAGGGCCACAGCTCAGCGCCGGAGCATCGGACCAGCTTGCAGAAGGATTCAGTCCACGACAGCGCCTCCAGTTAAGAGTCGACAAGAGACTCCCGGCTTGAAATCCTACTGCCACTCAGCACTGAGCTGGCCGGGCCAAGGCTCTGACTTGCTGTAAAGCACCAGAGCCCATGCGCCAAACCCTGCGCACCAAGCCTGCCCTCTCCACCTCCCACCATTGCTCCAAAGGCAGCCACTGTGCCCTCTGGCATGCTCCCCTGTTTTCCAGCCCAGTACCCCTTTGTAAGCCCCTCAACCAATTCCCTTCTGTGTCCCTCTGCCAACCACTACCCCCACCCAGATGTTTAGGACTGCAGCTGGTCTCTGGGTCTAAAACAACTGCAGAGCAGGGCATGTGTTGGTTCCAGCATCCATTTCAAGTGCCTTTTCCCTGCAAGGTGCTGTGTCCCAGCTTTGGCACAGTCTATGGAACTCCCTCCCACAGGGATGGGGACCAACTGGAACGACTTTAAATGGGAATTGGGCAAATTCGTGGAGAGGGCCATCAGGGTCTGCTAGCCAGGATGGCTCTGCCTCCACAGTCTGAGGCAGCGATGCTTCTGAGTACCAGTCGCTGGAAAGCACAGGAGGGGAGAATCACCCTTGTGCTCGGATCCTGCTCACAGGTTTCCCAGCAGCAGTATCTGGTCGCCCACCATGGGAACAGGATGCCAGACTGAATAATAATAATATTTGTACCCCGCCCATCTGGCTGGGTCTCCCCAGCCACTCTGGGTGGCTTCCAACGAAGATTAAAAATACATTAAAATGGCACACATTAAAAACTTCCCTAAGCAGGGCTGCCTTCAGATGTCTTCTAAATGTCAGGTAGTTGTTTATTGCTTTGACATCTGGTGGGAGGGTGTTCCACAGGGCGGGCGCCACCACCGAAAAGGCCCTATGCCTGGTTCCCTGTAACTTGGCTTCTTGCAGGGAGGGAACCGCCAGAAGGCCCTCGGAGCTGGACCTCAGTGTCCGGGCAGAACGATGGGGGTGGAGGTGCTCCTTCGGGTCTACTGGGCCTTTGAGGCCGTTTAGGGCTTTAAAGGTCAGCACCAACACTGAATTGTGCTTGGAAACCTCCTAGGAGCCAATGTAGGTCTTTCAGGACTGGTGTTATATGTTCTCGGCGGCCGCCCCCAGACACCAGTCTAGCTGCCACATTCTGGATTAGTTGCAGTTTCCGGGTCACCTTCAAAGGTAGCCCCACGTAGAGCGCATTGCAATAGTCCAAGCGGGAGATAACTAGAGCATGCACCACTCTGGCGAGACAGTCTGCGGGCAGGGGGGGTCTCATCCTGCGTACGAGATGGAGCTGGTAGACAGCTTCCCTGGACACAGAATGGACCTGCACCTCCATGGACAGCTGCGAGTCCACAACGACTCCCAGGCTGCGCACCTGGTCCTTCAGGGGCACAGTTGCCCCATTCAGGACCAGGGAGTCCTCTACACCTGCCCGCCCCGTCCCCCAAGAACAGTCCTTCTGTCTTGTCAGGATTCAACCTCAATCCATTAGCTGCCATCCATCCTCCAACCGCCTCCAGACACTCACACAGGACCTTCACTGGTTCTGATTTGAAAGAGAGGTTGGATGGGCCTTTGAGCTGATCCGGCAGCTTCTTACATTGTGCATTAGCAAGCACCGGGTCTGTTTTCTGAATGTGCGTACGCCTCCTTGAGATCCAGCCCACCCTGGATCATGACATGAGCCAACAGTGTGACGCGGCAGCTAAAAAAGCCAATGCAATTCTGGGCTGCATCAATAGGAGTATAGCGTCTAGATCAAGGGAAGTAATAGTGCCACTGTATTCTGCTCTGGTCAGACCTCACCTGGAGTACTGTGTCCAGTTCTGGGCACCACAGTTCAAGAAGGACACTGACAAACTGGAACGTGTCCAGAGGAGGGCAACCAAAATGGTCAAAGGCCTGGAAACGATGCCTTATGAGGAACGGCTAAGGGAGCTGGGCATGTTTAGCCTGGAGAAGAGGAGGTTAAGGGGTGATATGATAGCCATGTTCAAATATATAAAATGATGTCACATAGAGGAGGGAGAAAGGTTGTTTTCTGCTGCTCCAGAGAAGCGGACCCGGAGCAATGGATCCAAACTACAAGAAAGAAGATTCCACCTAAACATTAGGAAGAACTTCCTGACAGTAAGAGCTGTTCGACAGTGGAATTTGCTGCCAAGGAGTGTGGTGGAGTCTCCTTCTTTGGAGGTCTTTAAGCAGAGGCTTGACAACCATATGTCAGGAGTGCTCTGATGGTGTTTCCTGCTTGGCAGGGGGTTGGACTCGATGGCCCTTGTGGTCTATTCCAACTCTATGATTCTATGAAATATTCTATGAAATACCCGCATTTCCCTCCCTCCCAGGATGCGATGCTAGGGAAGAGTCAATTGCAAGCAGGTGTAGACAAAAAAAGAAAGCTGTTTAATAAGACACACACACACACAGTCAGATAGACAGACAGTAGCAGCAGTCCATTTCCGGAAGTAGAGGGGAGTGCAAGACCTAGATTTCACTCAACCTGCCCCTCCACCCAAAAAACACCACCTGGGCAGTCCATTCTTCTAAAAGCATCGCCACTCAGCTGATCCACATTGGCAGGAGGAAA